AAAAAAACCAAAACACGGTAGGGCTGTGTGCCAGAGCCAGCCCGGGCCCTGGTCTTGCTCTTCCCTCCTGCTCCCTCCTTTCTGCAGCCCCACCTCTGCGGACAGGAGGAGTTGAGTGGGGAAGCCAGGTGCCCTCCAGCAACCATCGCCCTTGCACTTTGCAATGCTGCACTGGGGACACAGGGGTTAGGTAGGGGGCTGGGTTGGCATTTTCCAACCTGGCAGGGTTTTCTCTGAAAGTCACAGTGCTCCATGCTGGCACGAGCACTACCCTCACATCTCCTATCCATTGGTTCTCAAGGTGGCTCTGTGAGGCCTCTAGGACAGGCAGCAGGTGCAGTGAGCAGGTCTCGTCTTATCTGCAGCTTCACTCCTCGGCCCCTGTAAGACTTCAGGATCTTCCTGGGCAGAATGCCAATGCCAACCTCTTCCTCATCGGAGATGCATGTGGGAGCATTTTGTAAATATGATTTCTCCCTCCGTCTCAGGAAGGAGACACCCTGGGACCGTCACACAGCCAGGAGCTACCTTCCTGGACCCTGCCGTTTGTGGCTTTGGGCTCTGTGGTTGCCTCAGTTACTCAAGCCACCCAGAAATTCCGGAGCATTGTGCCACCTGAGGCTCTTCATTGCACATGTCTTCTGTGGCTAATGGGAGCAGAGAGGACTTTACAGAAGGGTTGGCATTTGGCTCACGGCACCACAAGAAGTCTTCCAGGCTTCTGAGGGGAAGGCTGAGGGAAGCTGATTCCAGGGAGTTATGATGTACACTTAGCACTGTGCTTTGCAAAGAATACACATTCAAAATGATACCTAATACAGGGCTGACACAGTGGCATAGTGGATTAAGCCTCTGGTGTCATCAACATTCCATATGTAAGTGCCAACTTAACACCTCGTTGCCCTGCTTCTGATCCAGCTCCCTGCTAATGCATCTGGGAAAGCAGCATCGGATGACTCTGATGTTTGAGCCCCTTCTAGCCAAGTAGAAGCTCCTGGTTCCTGGTTTCTATCTGGTCCAGCTCAGGTTAATACTGCCATTGGAGAGTGAACCAGAAAATGGAAGATCCTTTCTCTCTGTGTTACCCTACCTCTCAGGTAAAAAAAAAAAAAAAAGCTTTGAAAGCTGACATATAATAATAATAGTAATAATAATAATAATAAAAGGAGATCGCCTCTGGTAACACTTCACTTCAGCGTCCACCAGAAAGCCCAAGCCTTTGGGCTGTGGACGCTGGTGATGGAGATGGGTTGAAGTGCCGAGTTCCGGCAAGGGCCTGGAGCGCATGCCCCTGGAGGCATTGTCAGAGCCTACACACCCTGCCTGCCCTCGGCTTGGCTCCTTCCCCTCCGCCGGGAATTGGCCTTGGCGGAGGGGTTGCATTCTGAGCCTTGTTTTCTCTTGGGCAAGAGTCCTTGCAGCTGAAAGGTGCTCTTTCTTGGGGTTCTGCCCCTTGACCAGTGAGCCAAGCCTGAGCTCACCACGCCTTCCTCCCCCTCCTTCCCTGCACAGGGCCAGGAATCAGCCCAGCTCGGGCCAGGCCATGAAGCCAGGCTCTATTTTGAGATTCAGCTGCTCACCGTGTGTGTGTGTGTGTGTGTGTGTGTGTGTGTGTGTGTGTGTGTGTGTGTGTGTGTGTGTGTGTGGCAGGGAGGAAGGCCACACAGCTGACAGAGCAGATTTGTAACATTCTCCTCTGAGGTCCCAAGGCCAAACACCAGGCGGTGCATCCATTAGACATGGCACTGGCTCCTCAACGTAGAGCAGAAAGCAGACCCTAAAATTGGCATGCTCCCAGCAGGCCCTCAGCCTAGGGGTTAAATGCCCGCATCCTACACCAGGGCACCTGGTTTCAACTCCAGGCACTGGTTGCAGCTACAGCTTCCTGAGTGCTCACCCCGGCAGTCAGCGCTCAAGGCGTAAGCAGTTGGGTTCCTGACAGCACCGTGGGAGACCTGAACTGGGTTCCAGGCTCCCGGCTCTGACTGGGCCAAGCCCAGCTTTGGTAGGCACGTGGGGAATGAATCAACCTAATGGAGATTTCTCTCTCTCTTTGACTCTCAAATAAATAAGTTAAACAATAAATCAGCAGAACATGCAAATGTGGAACAGCATGGCTTGTTTCAGTGCTTTGCAAAGCTGCCTGTCCCAGAAGGACACCAATACTTGGAATGCTCGGAGGAATCACTTCCCCAAGAACAAGACGTAACCCCATAGCCCAGCCCTTTCTCCTCCCTCTTTCCTTCCCCCATCACAGCCACCTGGAAGTTTCTGCCCTCCCCACCTCGGCCCAAGCCGTTCCCTCTGCTAGCTTTGCTTCTCCTCCATGCGTGGCCCATGCCCAAGCAGGTACCAGCTGAGAGGAGCGGATCTTGCCAGCCATCCCAAGGCCTCAACCTCCTTCCAGTTCCCCACTTTGGTTCTCACCGAAAGGAAAATACAAAGTGAGATCTGAGATCCCTTGGCAGGTGGCTGTAACGCTGTTACTTGGTGGAGAACCACATGCCGGCATTCTGTCTATAAGACAAAAGCACCCTGGTCTCTGCTTCCATACATCAGCTTGACCCCCCTGACTCCAGGTGTGGTTTCCAACCGCACAGTTCCTGTCACATAGGCTGCGATCTGAACCCATCAATACTGTGCCTACAAATACTGCAGGAAACCTCAGTTGGGGGTTCAGCCCCGACAGAGATGCCTCCGCTGAGCCTGACCCTCCTCGCTGCCTCTGGGGCCTGCTTGACTGTTTAATGGGGAAGTCTCCCCCGCCACCTCCTTCCCCTGTCCTGCAGTCAGCTCTCAGATGGAATGTTCCAGCTGTGCATGTCTGTGCACGCCAGTAGCTCTGGGCTCTGCTGCAACCAGGGAGCAGGGTGTGACATAGTCAGACCCTCCTGCAGGCTCTCGGCTGGCCATTGGATGGTGACAGACTTTTCCCAGAGAGCTTTCTGGGGCTCCTAGGGTCAAGGATGGTGGGGGTTGGGTGATGGGGCAACAACCTGAGCCAGCAGGGAGAATGTCGTTGAACCCCACTTCCTTCCCCTTTCATAGGAATCTCCCGCGCTGGCTGAAAGAGGCAGGCACGTGAGAGGCAGGCTTCCCACCTGGCCCATGGCTTCAGTCCAGTGCGGTGAACTGTCATTCCCAGGAGGCAGAAGAAAAGAAGGCTTCACTGAGCAACCACTAAGTGGCAAGGCCCAGCCAGAGCACAAAAGGGGTTCAGCCCTCCACAAGGGGCTGCTCTTCGCCACCCCCTTACCCTCAGCATCCACATTCCCAAGTCCGAGAGTGGCCACCCACAGCCACTGGACACCGGGTACCCAGAAGTGAGGTCCTGGCAGGGGGAGAAGGGAGAGGACCCAGGGAAAAGCAGAGGTTGCGGGGCCTCCGCTGGCCACAGGGATGGCTTTGGTTAAACCTGAGCACCCAGACCTAATGAAGGACCAGTAAGCTTAAGGAAGGGGAGGAGGAGAGCCCTCTCATCCCCAGCACCCCGGTACCCCGGGCACTCTGGGTACTCAAAGTAAGGGAGGCACAAGGTGCCAGGTCATCCTGGCAACTGCCCCAGAAGAGGTTGGGGGTTGGGGAGTGTTCTCTCCAGGAAAGACAAAGTGATCACAACAGGTATGTAGTGGCTCTATGATTAAGTTTCCTCATTTCCAACATGAGACAGAACCAGCCTTCCCCTACGGGGTGTTCTCAGGTGTGTAGTTGCCACGTGCAGCAGCCGGCACATGGCTGATGCTCTAGATGCAGCCGCTCCAGCCTGCCTCCTCCAGTAATTCAGACAGAGGCCAGTTGTGCAGGCAGAGGAGAAGGAACAGCAAGGGAGACCCCTTTAGAAGCTGGGGAAAAAAAACTCTCCTTAGAAGATTTCATGTTCTCTGGCCCAGTAGGCTTCATTAGACTTTCATAAAATCAGAGTCCAGGAGACAAGTCACCAGGGGGCTGATGGGGACCCAGCAGGAGAGAAGCCAGCTGCCCCCTCCACAGCCCAGCCCCCTCCTCTTATCTCCATGGCAACCGAACAGGCTGCCCTGCAGGGTTTCTGCCCACCCAGGGCCTGAGGCTGCAGTAAAAAGAAGGGCAGAGACCACCCCCACAGACAGAAACCTGGAAAGCCAGGACAGGGATGAGCAGTGTCTCTGCCCCTCCCCATCTCCCCTTCCACCCCACCCCAGACACCGAAAGACTAAGAGCTGGAGCGGGATGCATCTAGTCAACTGCACCGGAGTCTCAGCTCTGCGAGCTGCTTGCTGTTTGTACCTGGGAGAAGCCACGGATTCTGTAACCGTCAAAGGGAGGCATGAAAAATACAGAAAAGGCGAAGCATGGTTAAGCAGACTGTGGGAGGCAGAGGCAATGAAATATTTAAGTCTAGGGAAGAAATTCACACACATGAGCACACACACATGCACGCACAGGCTCCCAGGATCCGGCAGCTTTGGGGGCTGTAGTTATTAAGAAAAACTCAGTCCCTGTCTGGAGCCAAATTAAAACAACAAGGTTCAGAGGGTGAAGGAAACACAATATTTACTCTATCAACTAGAGAAGAGGGTGGTATACTTCCAGGTCCCAAGACCCTGCAAAGCTATGGGAGGGCTTATTGGGGCAGCAGGGCAGGCAGGCACAGGCATGGTGAAGCCTCGTGGAGAGCTGCAGGTGTCTGGTGGCAGGTGCCAAGGCTGACCCTCGGTCCCCAGCTGTACATTTCTTCGCTGTTGCATCCCAGTGGTGCTTGAGGTCCACTTGCAATAAGATCACACCTAGCCTGACGGAAAGCAGTTTAGATAAGGAACAAAGCAATGTGTACCTTAGAATACAGCCAAGCGGAAAGCCAGCTGCCCAGCCCTGGGAAGCATTAGTTCCCGGCTTTACATTGAAGTGGTCAATGCTATTTGCTTATGCTGTTTACACCTGGTTACACAACCAAGATCATCTGGCCACTGCTCTCCCCTCTGCCCGCCCCCATCCGGGTTCCTTCCTCCTTTACACATCCCACTGGCTTGCACTTCCCCAGCCGGTTCCTTTATAGCTGCCTGGTTCCCCTCCGAGATCTTGAGAATTTCACAGCACTGCAGGACGAGGGAAGACCTATGGCCAGGACTCTGGAGAGCCCCAGGAGCTGGGCAGCCCTGGTGGTGGCACTGGTCGTCATGGCCACGGCCGTGTCAGAGGCCACCAACCCCGGCTTCATGATCAGGATCTCCCAGAAGGGCCTGGATTATGGTAATTGGATGCCTCCTTTTCCTCCTCTCCCACCCCCAAGGGGCATTAGTTGAATGAGCACTTGCTGTGTGCAGCGCTCTAAATCCAGTGCACAGAACGCTCACTGTGCAGGTGTCCTTGTCCCTGGTCTACCTGTGCAGCCACTGAGACTGCCAAGATCACAGGGCTGGGAAGCAGTAATACCCAGACTGGAGTGCTCCCCAGTGCTCAGACTCCTAAGTGGTCCCTGCTCATCAGCCAGCCTGTCTCTGGCTTCCAGGTCTTTTCTTCCTGAAGTTGGTTTTCAGGCTTGCTGCTGTGTCTAGAGGTTGGGCAGGGAGGGAGGGGGAAAATGGGAAGGGCTCTCCTTTGTAGCGAGCCAACATGCAGAGGGGATCACTCAAGTGGAGCTCTGGTCGCTTGAATGCTGTGGCATAAGGCTGCTCAATGCTGCCTCTCAGTGGCAGAAAGATGAACTGTAGAGCAATGGCAAACCCAGCAAAACCCTCTGAGTGGAAGGTAGAACTCCTCAGGTGCATGCAATGGGGAGCAGCACCCTTCTCAATGAGTTGGGGCTCCACTCCAGAGCACCACCTCCCAGCCAAGGTAGGTCATCTCTGAATCCAGGGCTACATGCAGAAGGGCCTGTGTGAGCCAGGAGGAAGCAATGTGGCTGTTTCTGAGCTCAGAGCTGGGATGGCCCTGAAGGCTGAGCCCACAGCTTCCCTGGTCAGTCACAGCTGCCTTGGTGTCACCTTGTGCCACCCACAGGGAGTATGTTTGCATCCTCTTCTTACTCACACCCTTTGGGGGCTCCCTGGCATCTTCTAACTCCCCACTTGATCTTCTTTGCCCCCGGCCAGCCCAGCTCTCCTTGCCCCTCTAAGTGGGCAAAGGCCCTGTGGATAGCATCTCAAAGGCAGAGCGACTGGGAGCTGGACACGGTTGTAGGACTCAGTACTAGGTGCTGAGGGGGGGGCATGGTATTTCAGAGTGCAGGTCAGCAACCTGCAGCCACAGACCCACTCTGAAGAACAGTGCTTACATTTTTAAAATGGTTGCTGGAAACCTGATGGGAAGCTGTATCTTATAACCCGGGAAAATAATGGGAACTTGAAATCCCAGCAGCTCTAAGGATGGCATTCCCCAAGTACAGCTACCTGCGGCTACCTCTGGGCCAGGAGAGCAGAGCAGCTTTGACAAGGATGGAGGGCCCTCAGGGGCTGGGGCCATTTACCTTGCGGCCCTCCACACAAGGCCTCCCCTGGTCCTGCTTGTGACCCTCCAGGTCTACCATCTCAGCTGAGGACTATCGCAGCCACCAGCCCGGCTAGCAGGGGTAGCCTCTGACCCTGCCCCTTCCCTGTGCCTTCTCTGCCCACAGCCTGCCAGAAGGGAGTGGCCGTGCTGCAGGGCGAGCTCGAGAAGATCCGCATCCCCGACACCTCGGGAAGCTTTAAGATCAAGCGTTTCCTGAAAGCACACTACAACTTTCACAGGTGATGCCTGGCGGGGAGGGACCCAGTCCCCCACACTGGGGGCGTAGGAAGCCGTAGAACCTGCCTTGGGCCCTCACCATGATGCCCAGGGACAATCACAAATCCCAAAACTCTGGGCCCAATTCTTGGATCTATTAGGGCTGGGGGCCTGGAGGACGGAAAACCTGACCCCCAGAATGAGCTGGCTCAGGGGACTGCACGATGCCGGCGAGGTTCTGGCTTCAGGTACACCTGGAGCAGGTGCCGGCGTGTGGGACCCCACTTCTCCCTGGCCACATGCAAACACCACCCACTAACCTCGGGGAAAGGTCCCCTCGGGAAGCAAGACGACCTCTCTCTCATCCATTTCAACGCCGAGTTGCAGGGGAGGTCCTCAGACACATTCCCATTGGTCCGTCATATGCTAAATACGCACCCTTGAGCCAATCACTGGAGCTGGAGGAATAGAGAGCCCTCATTGGCTAAGTTGAAGTTTCCAACTCCACCCCCAGGTGAATCAGCATGGGACAGGTGTGGGGTGACAAGGCTGTTCTTGTCTCCTTGGACAGGTGAGAGGTTGGGCAGAAACCATATACATGTCTGGGAAGAACTGAATGCACCCCCTCATTCACCAGACTGCTCCAGTACCTGCCACATGTCTGGTATGGTGTGCACGCTGGGATGCTGGTGGTGAACAAAGACAGACACCGTCCACCCTTTTGCTGAGCTTCTGGGCTGAGGCTCACACATCCTGCGCAACAGAGAGAACTGGGTCCATTGTACAGCTGTAGAGACTGAGGTCCTGGTGACACGATAGATGGTGTAGCTGAAAGCAGGCCCCAGCCCAGGTCTTTTCCACCTCCACCCCCTGGGGCAGGGGTGCCGAAGTGATGGGGCAGGATGGGGGCCAGTTAACAGCTCAGCGTTTCTTCTTTGCAGCATGGTGGTCCGCAGCTTCCATCTTCCCAACCCCCAGATAAGAATAAAGCCTAACGTGGGTCTGCAGCTCTCCATCAACAACGCCAACATCAGGGTCAGCGGCAGGTGGAAGGCCAGGAAGAGCTTCGTGTATGTGGCCATGCTTGTGGCATGGAGGGTGGGCTCTGGATGGTGTTCAGGAGGCGTCTGATCCAGGCTTTCCGGATTTATTCACCTTGTTCATCACCATGCATTGTCCAGGAGTCTCTAGGACAAGAGTTTTTGAAGATTCACTTATTTATTTCTACTTATTGAAAAGGTAAAGCATGAGACAGTGAAGGAGAGAGACAGAGAGAGAGAGGTCTTCCATCCATTGGTTCACTCCCCAAATACTGAGAACAGCTGGGGCTAGCTCAGGTCAAAGACTCAGGATTCCATCTGGGTCTCCCACCTGAGCAGCATGGTCTCAAGTACTTGGGCTACTCCTGCTGCCTCCCAGAGAAATTGATGGCAGAGGAAGTTCTGTTGGTGAATGGCTGAGCACCTGTGCACATCACAGCACTGGACACGGTAAGGTGGAGTCAGGACATGAAGCTGAGCACAGAACCTGTCACCCACTGGCTAGGTTGGTCATCTGTCCTGTGTCAGCAGTCAGCCCAGCCTGGCTGGCAGCCACCACATATTACAATTCTAATCACCTACAAAGGCAAGAATTCGCTAGGGTTTGGCTGAGCTAGACTGGGCTCAGTCCAGCAGAGGCTCACCTCAGCCTGGGTAGCTGCCCAAGGCACATTCCTGGTGATGGTAGAGGTGCCCAAATGGAAGGCAGATCCTCCAGAGCTGAGCATGTTGAAGTCAGGTGGCCAAGTCCAAAGTTGAGAACAAGAATATGTATCTCCTCCTCCTGTGACCAGCAGTGACATTCAAAACCACCCAGCAAGGATAGCAGCTGAGGCCATGGTTAGGATAAGCTGGATTCTGCCAGGCCAACCTGGGTCGGACATCAGGTGCAAATCCTGACTTCACCACTCAGTTGCTGGGCGACCTCGGGCAAACTGCCTGTGCTTTCCAGAGCTCTTGGCTCACCTGCAGCAGGAACCCTGTTAAGCTGCCGCCCGGCACTGGAGTGTGAACGTAATAAGGAAAGAAGGGCTTGCTCCAAGCCGTCTCTGTGTCTTCCTTCAGCAAAGTCAGCGGCAAGTTCGATATCAGCGTGGAGGGCATCTCCATCTCGGCGGACCTCAAGCTGGGTAGCGTCCCTGCCTCGGGCCATGCCACTGTCACCTGCTCCAGTTGCAACAGCAACATCGACAGAGCGCGTTTGCGGGTCTCAGGCATCCTGGGGTATGACCTCCTGGGACGGTGACTGGGAAAGGGATCTTGAGCAGAACCCAAGCCCACCCTGTGCCCAGCCTTGCTAAGGGGTCCTCGGGGGTGGTAGGGGGAGCCAGGGATACACAGAATGGAGCAGACATGTGGGATGCACTGAACATTTACTATGCTTCAGGCTGCGGCTCAGCACCCGACCCATGTACCATGCTACATAATCCTCATCAGAAACCTGCAGGCATTCATTCAACAAATGCCCGCTGATGTCAGCTTTGCACACAACTAAGGCAAAAAAAAAAAAAAAAAAAAGCCCTAGGACACAACAGGGGCAAGAGTGAGCGCCACCTAGTGGCATCCCATGTGCCCAGCAATGTCCTGAGCACCTGCCTTGCATCACTAATTCGCACAGTGCCTTGGTGAGAATAGGCTGTTATTACCCTATTCTCTTAAGGGGCAAACCAAGGCGCTGAGGTTGGCTAAAAGCCTAACTTTCCATAGGCAACAAGTGCTTCAGCACAGGACTCTCTGACCCCAGCCTGTGGTCAGCTAGACCAGCCGAGTAACACACACTAATGAAATCGCCACGCACATTGAATGGCTCACACACAATTATGAAAGGGGATAAGAACTAAGAAAAAGGTACAAAGAGCTATAAATGCATGGAACAGGAGGATCTGAACCAGCCTGGGGACTGGCTGAAATGACATTGGGATGGAAATGAAAAGAGTTAAGAAGTGGGAGTTCATGTAGATGTCGGGGCAGCAGGAACAGCATGTGTCAAGGCACTGTGGTGGGAGGCAGCACAGGACACAAGGTAGAGCAGGCCAGGGTGGCTGGTAGAGACAGAGAAAGGTGAGGGAGGGGGCAGAGGGGAGCCTGCGGCAGGGTGTAGGGAAATAACCGCATCAACAAGTCGTTGCAGACGCAGAAAGATGCTGATCAGAGGGTGCACACTGGGAGCTCAGGAAGGAGGTGCCCAGATGGACCTGCAGGGGAGGAGGGCTCCCAGCTGACACAGCCTCCTGACACCTGGGACCCTCACACCTGTCCCTGTTGCCGCTCTACAGGTGGCTGGTCAAACTCTTCCATAAGAAAATCGAATCTTCACTCCGCAAATCCATGAATGGCAAGGTAAGAGGGGCCAGGGGCATCCCCAGCGGTAGGCTGTCACCTCGTACCTCCAGCGTGCCCCCCATGCCCACTGAAACCCCAAAGCCAGCTCTACAAGTCAGTGTGAGTGTGGTGACAAGCATTCCCCAAGGCTCCGAGAAGGGGTCGCCCCACTCTTATGGCACACTTTGGCCCTGAGAGCTTCTTGGGGCAGGGTTGGGAGAGTTGGGGAGCCCCTCTGCCCGCCCCACTTTTCCCCCAAACCTCTCACAGTCCTCCCACCTAGGACACACGCCCTTAAGGAAGCAACAAGTTTGGGGCTGGTGCAAGGCTATGGGGTGAACACACCCCCGCCCCCATGCCTGCTACTTGGGGCTTTGAAACAAGCAGCTGGGGCCAGGCACCATTGCCCACACTCAAGGATTTTGTGGCTCAGGAAGTGAGATGAGCACAGTGGGCACAGCCACGGTCCCACCCTATGTCCTGGCATCTAGGGGAAGCTCCGAGTCAGTGTCACCTGAATGGCCCCACTCTCCCCCGACATCTGCTTTCTGGCTTGGCCCATTGGACTGTTGACTTAAGGGATAGGTCCATCCTTGATTGGGCTCAGGCTGCTTGTGGTTAAGCACTGGGTTCACAAAGGGAGCCCCAGATGGAGTGTGGCTCCAAAGTCAAAGGTGAAGCCACATGTAAAGTCACTTTCACTGTGACCCATGGGTTCCAAGCAAGCCCTCAGGGCCCTCTGGCTGGGGCTGGGGCACAGCTGCAAGGCAGGGGAGCCTGTGGGATGTGACTGGCCACTTCCCATTGTACAGGGGACAAAGCAGAGGCCTAGAGAGGTGGAGTGACCCTCTCAGCGACCAGGTTAGCCTGGGTATGAGGCAACCTAGATGAGCTGGGGTTACTGTTTATTCCCCTGGGAGAAATGGTGGGGGAGGGGGCAGGGCAGGATCTGTCTTTTTGGCTGTTCACAGCAAAGTCCCACCCTGCCTTGGGAGAGAGCGAGTCCCCACTCCCAGAAAATCTAGCCACCGACCACCTCACGCTTGGTCACTTTTTTCAGCCACTTTGTTTCCCTAAGGAGCTGAGATAGCAAAAGCAAAGGCAACACAACCAACAGCAAACCCACATTACAGAGCAGAAAACACAAATGCAGCAGGGAAAGGAAATAGAATAAAGATGTTCGCATTGTGCAGGCACGCGTAATTATTATTTCCAAGCTGTTTGTCTCATGCCCTAAGCTTCCTGGTGGCCAAACAGAAAAGGGAAAATTGATGAGCCATATGGTTTTCAAGGAAACGACCTGGATCCTTATTCCCACCATGGGAAGGCCTCACTGACCACTTCTTTGGTTCGCCCCAGATTTGCGAAGTGTTGACCAGCTCTGTGTCCTCCAAGCTGCAGCCTTATGTCGAGACTCTGCCAGGTGAGAGCGGGTGGGCACCAAGAATAAAAGGAAACTGAACAGAGAAGGCCTGAAGGAGGCAGCAAGCTTCCCTGACAGACCTAGCCTGGGCCAGAATGGACAGAGCAGGTGGCTCTCAAATGGCAGTTGGCTTTGGGTCAGGCCGCTGTGGCAGGTGCAGGAGTAAGATGGGGAAGCAGCCCATCTCTGCTTATTCCCCCAGCCCTGTAGCCACCAAACACCCAAATAGTCTCTGCCCCTGGAAGCCAGACACATGAGGTTGCCCAAAGAGTTGCTACCCTCCCCTCTGAACCCCTTGCTGCATGTCTAACATGGGAGCAACTTTCTGTCCCCCTGCCCCTCCAAGCATTTGGCAATCCACAGATGGGGAGGACTCCCTCTCACGTGCTCACCATGTCTCAGGCACATGGAAAACTGTCTCCCCTAAGCCTCCAACCGTCCATTTTACACACAGGAATATGGGAGGCTCAAAAAGCTGCTGAGTTTTGGCCAAAGTCACAAGGCTGGGAAAAGGGCAGAAACACGATCCCGACCTTGGAGTTGGAGTTTTCCTAACAGAGACCATTCAGAGCTGAGCTGGTCCCAAGATGACCTGGGGCAACAGCATTACTAAGCACAGTCCCTCCTGGCTTTGGAGCCTACGTCAGGGGCTGTGGATGCCTGACCATGGGCTGTGCAAGGCCTGAGAATTCATCTAACCTGACCCTGCCACAGCAGCCATGGGCGGGGTTCATGATTCAATGAATTTACAGCAAGCTTGTTTTTAAGTGGATAATCTCACATGGGCTGTGAATGTTGTCCTCAAGCCTAAGGTGGCCTTGGGCAGGAAGAAGTTTCCCCACTCCTGCTCTGGAAGCTGATCCCTCCCAGCATCTGTGAGGTGACTCTTGTCACCACAGTTCTGCAAGTGACAGGTGCTCCAAGAAGGGCAAGGGCTCCTCCTGGGTCACACGGAGTTCTATGCAAGTGGGCAGTATTTGAGCCCTTGGCTTCGTGTGTTAGCCACTGACTCGGGGTTCTTAGAGGGGAGCAGGTGCATGTGAGTGTGGATTCCTTCCCTCCAGTGGTGGAGTTGAGAAGGGCTCCTCTGAGGAGGTGAGTATAAAATGAATACAGAGATTCTTGAACAAGCTTTAGGGGATGGCCTGGAGAGGTTGCCATGGGAACCAGTTTCTGTTCCGTCTTCTTTTTCTCCAGTGAGAAAGAAGATTGATTCAGTGGCCGGGATTGACTACAGTTTGGTAGCACCCCCAGCAGCCACAGTGGACCACCTGGACACGCAGCTGAAGGTGGGGCTTTGCAGGAGAATCACCAACCTGAATGGCTCTGCCGCAGACCTGCTCAGGAAGGGCTCCCCCAGATCAGGGGAGGCAAACCCCGTCCCCGATGTCTGCTTTACTTCTCCCTACGCCTGTTCTTTTCCTCCCACTGCTACTCTGGGCTCACTGGCCTCCCCGTCTTCTGTTCTCCCAACTCATATAGCTGCCTTGCCCCTGGGCCTAGGCACCTGCTGTCCCCTATGCTACAATGTCGTCTCACAAATGTCCATGCAGCTTTGTCTGGCCCCTTCAAGTCTTTGCTGAGCTATCCCCTCACTCTATTGCCGCCTCCTTCCTCACTGCTCTCAGCATCACTAGCATCTTCACAATGCAACAGATCAAAGGTTAAGTTAGGGCCTATTTACCCACAGCCCATGAGGAGGTTCTGTTTGCCTCCTGCCGAGGGATGGTAGCTGATGGCTACGGGGGGATGTAACGCCCCCATGGCGTCTTCAATCTGCACATTCACATACACACATACACACCCACGTGAAAACCTAGCTAGAACTGGAGGGTTTGATTGCCTGGCTTGGTGCCCTCCACCAGTCCCCTGGCTCTTCTTCCCTGACCATGTGCACTGTAACTCCCAGCCTGGGCTGGGATCCCTCTTACTACGTTCCAAGGGTTGCTCTGTCTTCTGCCATAAGGTACCATGGTCTAAGAACAACAGGGAGCCAAGGATACAGAGGATACTAGGCTAGCATCATTTGGATTTAAGACATGTGAGCTTCTTGTCACCTTTGTTTCTGAAAGTACGTGTGAATAACTGCCTGATCCTGCACTTCTCCCATCTTGCTGTGCTGATGTCAATGTGTGTCTTCCTTTTCCCTGACCTTACACTGCTTAAGGACCTTTCCTTTTTCTGTACCTGGTATCCTACCATCTACACCTGCCTGTAATTTGCTTTCTCGGCTGAATGCTTTTGCAGCTAACCAAATGACCTGCCCTACAATGCGGTGCTGCAATACACAGCAGCCCCATACCAATAACCCGCAGTGTCAGCAGCCAGCACACCCATCCCACTCTGCTGCTTTGCAGACGCTGCTAACTTGGAAGACGTAGCAGGACCTTACTGTTCCCTGGGCAACATTTCCATGCTTGTTAGCAAGGCTGGGGAGCTGCATAGGCAGAAGCGCATGTGCCAGACTCTGCCTGCCCAGGTTCAGTTCCTGCCCCTGCTGCATGCTGACTGTGGGCCCTTGGGCAAAGCACGGCCCTTTCTGAGCCTCAGCATCCTCTCCTGTGGCAGAGCGAGCGTGCAAGCCGCCCAGGGCTGGTTTGGAAAGCATACAGGGCAGCATCTCTGAGCCTGTCCCTGAGGGAGATTCCATTCCTCTCCTTTGCAAAGGCATAACTCGTGTCCTCAGCTTGCTCATTTCCTAGCACGTGTGAGGGGGCAGGCATTGCTACCTGAAGATGCCCGTCTCACTGCTGCCTGCCCCCAGGGGCAGTTTTACAGCGTGGCCCACCCCAGCCAGCCTCCCTTCGCCCCGCCTGCCATGGCCTTCCCCAGCCTCCAAGATCGCATGGTGTATCTAGGCGTGTCTGACTACTTCTTCAACACGGGGGCGCTGGTGTACGAACAGGCAGGAACTCTGGGCCTGATCTTCACGAATGACATGGTGAGACCGGGTGACATGGTGAGCTGGGACCGGATGTGGGAGGAGCCCTGGACTGCCAAGTAGAGGCTTTGTCCATGCCCTGGTGGGATGGGAGCAAATTTGAATTTGACTTGAAATCAGCCACTCTGGAAACCTGTTTCCCCATCCATGAAGCAGTAGTAGCAGTACCTTCCTCCAAGGCGTGATTAAGTGCAATATTCTTGCTGTTACGTTACTATATTATATAGCACTATAATTGCTATACATTCAGAGAGAATTCAAATTCCCATTGAGAGGCGCTGAGCTCACGTAGGCAAGTATCTGCCCTGTGCCAGACCCTCCTCCCCATTCTATCACCTTTTTCATCACCACCCTTTTTGTCCCTATTTATTCAAGGGCCCACTCTGGGCCTCAATTTGCCCATCTGTGAAATGGAGAAATGACGATCCTCTCCAGAATCTGGGAACAGCCCCGGTCCCGACCTGTTCACCAGCCTTGGGGGTTCCTCCTATCTGGCTCCTCAGAAAGACAGTTGATTTTCACAATCCCAAGTGCCACCAATGGGAACCAGCAAGATGCTGATCACCCACATGCCCACTGGGGAAACAGACAAGGGTTATTTATTCAGAGCAAGTGACCCAGCCCCCAATCACTTGTGCTTGGTAAAATTCAAAGGTAGAAAGGGGAGGGGGTGAGGGGAGGGGAAACTCACAGAGTTCAAGTGTGTTGGTAGGAGGCCATGGCTCGAAGTTGGCAAGTGAACAGGCTGTCCCATAGGATTGGTTTGGGGACAGACTGGAGCTTCTCGGGGAGAAGAATCTCAAAGCAGATAGTCAGGGACGAGGGCCGTCGGTTCCAGGCTGCAGAGGTTGGGGTTCGTCTTTGGGGCCACTGACCTCTACTATCTGATGTGATCGGGTCCCTGTCCTCTGTGTTTGTTCTGTCTGGCGTTCCTCAGCGTGTGCGTGGGAGTGGAGAGAACAGAGGGAGAAAGAGGAGACAGAGCACATGTCCCCCAGTGACCCTGCCTGCTGATCTTTAATACCATCCCCCAAGGTCCTCTTCTCTTGTTCCAGATTCCTAAGGACTCTAAATTCCGACTGACGACCAAGTACCTTGGGAAGGCCCTGCCCCAGGTGAGCAAAGGCCTGCTTTCTCCCCTTTAGTCATGCATCGGGCCTGGGCTCAGGGTGGGCTGGGGTTCGCTGAGTGGATGAGGCAGACAGACGCAGCCCAGGGCCCAGAGAGCAGAGCCTGCCTTGTGCAGCCCACAGTGGTACAGAGAGCTGCTCCAGGCAGCCTCCTGCCTGGGAGTGAGAGTTGACATGAGGGTCCAGCCCCTGGAGCTGCTGATCAGCTTCCCAGCCTGCATGTGGATCCTGCACTGGGAACTCTGGGGACAGCCCCTCGCACTCTTTCTCTACAGGGCAGCCTGCATGGAGGGGCAGGGGCAGGTGTGGCTGGCAGGGACACCCAGGGAGCTGCATTTGCCCATCAATCACCAGTTTGACCCAGACTGTGGGAGGGGACCTGGCTGGAGGCTGTCTGAGATGAGAGGGTGACTGGAACATTCCCTATCTCCCCCCACCGCCCTAGGACCCCCTCATCTTTTTTGAGGTGCATGGGAAGGGGCAGGGCCAGCCTGAGGAAAACTGAGTGGACAAGCATTCAGTGAGAGGAGTTGTGGAGGACAGGAGAGCGTTTCCCATTTGAGGACTGGAAACCATTTGCCTGAGATGGAGGACAGAGGCATGAGAACCAGATAGAAACTGAGTCTGTCTGCTTCCTGACACTGGGCTTCCAGTCTCCAGAGCAAGGGACGGCTAGGATGGGGTTGGCAGGGCGCCAGTTGCCATGCCACACAGTCCCTGCCTGTGCTCTAGCGGCAGTGGCAAGGCGGGGGAGGTGTTTGGGTATGGGCGGGGCAAGTCTAGATCCAGCCATGTTCCTATCCAAACGACTTTCTGTGCTCATTGTCCCCTCATGGGGTGCAGGTGGCCAAGATGTTCCCCAATATGGATGTGCAACTCTTCCTCATCGTGTCCTCCCCACCACGCCTGTCCATAAGCCCCAATGGCGTCACCCTCAACGCTGCCCTGGATATAGAGGCTTCTGCCATCCGCCCCAACTCCTCTCTGGCCTCCCTCTTCCTGCTTGGCCTGGTAAGCTATTCTCTCGGGGCTGGGCAGAGGGGAGTTCCTGTTGTCCTAGGAGTCGGGGGCCAGGGTGAATCCTGCCCAGCAGGAAGCCTGGCCAGTGTGGCGCCAGAGTCGGAGGTCAGAGCTGCTGTGCCCACCTGCTTCTAGCCCCACAGGTATCCTTCACCCGACAGTCACCAGTATCTTTATTTATGCAGTCATTCAATTATTCATTTGCATAGTTTCTCATTCACTCAATTATTCATTCCTTTGTTGGTTTGAAATATGGCTAATATTTCCAATACATTCACTCCTATCTTGGCTCATTCACTTGCACATTGGTGTATTTGTTCATTCATATACTCAGTCATTCGTTTACTCATTTGATTATTCATTCACTCAATTTTTTATAATACTGTTGACGTGAAACATGCTATACATTTTTTAGGCTCCTATGCGCCTTCATTTATTCATTTGCTCACACTTGTGCTCAACCGATCATTCGTTTTTGTGCCTTCCTTCATTCATTCATCCATAAATATCTGGGTTCATGCCTTCATCTGTAGATTTATTGGGCCTTTATTTAGTTGGGTGCCCAGGCCAATGCTGAGTGGTATGTTCACCCCTTCGATCGTTTCATGGCTCCACATATATTTGGTGGCACTGCTTCTGGCCTCTGAGGATGTGGCCCACACATCCCGCAACCAGGGACCATGCAGCTGACCCCACTGTACCCACTTTGCAGAGAAAGTGGGCTTATAGGCAATCACCCGAGGCTCTAGGCAGGAAGCTAGAACCTGCCTACATTTTGGAATGAATCATTGACTCGGTGGTTTGGGCCCTAGGGTGGCCAGACTCCAGCCCTAAGGGCCCCTAGGAGTGAGCAGGGAGCTGGGATACGGTCCCAGGGCAGTTGGGGGCACATGGGTACTGGTTGTGAGCCTGGGCTTCCTCAATGAGCACCCCTGCCCTACAGAGCCTGAACACATTGGTGAAGGTCGATGCCAAGGGAGACAAGCTTTTTGCACAGCTCAGAACGGGCAGGTAAGTGGCCTGCAGGGATGCGGCGGGGTGGGGAAGGGGCACACCTCTGTTTTTGGTGTCCACACAACAGCAATGACCCTTCTGTTTTTGGTGTCCACTGTCATAGTTAAACCTCAAGCAGGGTGTGGTAGCCATAATATTCCCAATTTACAGACAGTGAAACTGGTGATTAGAGGTGAACTGCCTTGCCACTGTTCTACACCGTGGAGTGGCCCAGCATCTCTTTGCCCCAGGCTGACTCACAGCTGGACCATGTCAGCTAAGGCTCCCCACCCCCCATGCTAAAACGACAGCAGCATCCAGCTGCCCATGCTCCAGGCTGTGCTTGGCACTTGGAAAATCCCACATCAACTTCTCCCCTCCAAGAACCATCCTCTGCCAGGCATTGGAATCCGGGTGGCAGAGGTGGTAGCTGGGGACACGGGGGTGCCCGGACTGGGTGCTGAGCATGCAAAATCTTTTGAGTTGCTCCTCAGTTGCACAGTGTGCTTCCCAGCTGCATGCGTGTCCTTTACCAACAGTACCACCTTGAGGATTCGGTGAAGTACTGGAATATGTGCTGGAGTGTTTGGAACGCTTCCAGCTGTGTGATCGAAAGCAATGGATGGGAAAAAGAAATGCAGAAATGGAGCGAGTGACCCAGAAAAAGAGACACTGGGAGAGAAGGAGAGAGAGAGCACAGAGCGATGGAGAGGCAGGTGGAGGCACGGAGCAGAAGGGAGGCCAGCGGGTCTAAAAGAAGGAGCCCCCCAAGGGGTAGGTGTGCTGACCACTGTGGACAGACCTGGGGTGTTTCTCCATCACAGTCAGGATCACACCATGTGAGTCTTGACCCACGTTCCTGTCCATTTCCGCCTCCCTGGCCCAGAGCCGTCCTTCCTGACCTTGAACAGAGCTCCAGGGGGTTCAAACAGCTCACCTCTCCCAGCACCATTTTGACACATCCCTCTGCCTCAGAGACTGTGGGTTTAATTTTCCTGAAACACCTGCAAGCCTGTCATGCCACGGAGCTGGAGAAGAATCAGCTGGGGGTTGGCTGAACGCAGACTTCCGACTCACAGGGGGGATGGAGCTTGGGTCATAAGAACTCCTAGAGCAGGCCTCCTACGGCTTCTGACTTTTGATGAACAGGGATGAGTTTTCAAAGTCTGTAGACTTTTGGAGACAATGGGCTGAGAATCCAGGAAACCTGCTCAAAGTCATTAACTGTGACCTTGGGCAGGTAGACTGGCCTCTCTGGCTATCAGCTTCCTCATCTGTGAAATGGGAGTGTGATTGCTTCTGCCAGTGGAATTGGAATTAAATGGAATGAAGCACCCACAATAGTGGATTCAGTATCTGGCCTTGTAGCTGCCCCTTTCTCTGAGGTCTTTAACAAAATGCCATGAAAGCCACAAATGGAGATTGCTTATTGGCTCAGGGGACTGAAAATTCTAAGGCTCTCAGGCCAGGGTGGAGCCAGGCACTCAGACAAGACACCCCTAGAAATGTGACCCCCTCCGTCTCTCGGCTCTGTTGTCCCCTGTGCCAACTTTGTTTCCCAGCAGGTGATCACCAAGCAGTGACAAAGCCATCAGCAGGGATCCCTGAGGAGAGTGCCTGGCTCCCAGTGGTTTTCACAGAAGCCCTGGGACTCCTGGTGGTCTGGCATGGGTCCCCGTCCTTCCTTGAGACAATGACCATGGCTGAGCAGGGGGACACTGCTTGTCAGTAGTGTCTGGTCAGCAGCACTTCTGGCAAAGGGAACATGTGACCCGCACACAGGAACAATTCGGGGACTGTACCCCGAGGCAGGGGAATGGATTCAGCTGGGCTCCCAGGCCAGGGGTGGGGTCACCATCCCCTCTCTCTCTACCCAGGCTGCTCCTGGAGCTGAAGCACTCGAATATTGGCACCTTTCCGGTAAGTCTGAGGTTCTGACTGGCTCCCTCCTTCTCCTCCTCACATTGGGAGATGGGTCAGCAGGAAGTCACGGGATTCATTTGCATATAATTTGCATTGGAATTAACAGAGCTGGGAGCTCTGTGGCCCCAGGCCTGCTCTGTGCAAACCGGGGGTCCCTGGGCAAGTCCCTTTCCTTAAATGTACAGTCTAAGTGTAGGAAATCTGCTCCATCAACGTTTGTTGAACAAGTCATGTTGACTTAGTCATGAGCAGGTGTTACATGCCAAGTACTGCTGTAGCATCCTCATCCTGTCCCACCATTCAGGGAAGAAACGGTTTCTCAGAGCCAGGCAGTCAGGAGACAGGAGGGCAGAAATAAGATCGTCTCAGTCTTAGAGCAATGAGCAGCACAGGCAGGCTGGGCAGAAAGATGGGAGAAATAACAGAGTGTGCAACCGTGGAAGGCCTCTCTGAGGAGGTGATGCTTGGGTTGACAACCAGAAAGAACCATAGAGGCAAAACCCTGTGCTGGGTCCAAGCTTGGCACAACTGGGATCTAGGGGAAGCTGGCATGGCTGGAGTGGAGCAAGGGGAGGGCGCAGAGGTTGTGGCTGGAGCGAGGGGCAGAGGCTGGCTCTCCTGTGGCTTTCAGGGTCAAGAGTGGAGGGAGTTTCAAGGGCAAGCAGTAGCAGGTGAACCACCTGCAGGGGGTGATGTCACGTGATCCGCACCTTTGGAAGGGCTCCCTCTGGCTGGGGCAGGAAAGTTAGGGCCCCAGGGAGGGGCTGGTGTTGGAAAGCCAGGGCACCAGGGAGGGGCTGGTGTGGGAGAGCCAGGGCCCAGGGAGGGGGTGGGCAGGAGAGCCAGGACACCAGGGAGGGGCTAGGGGCAGGGACTCAGCCAGGAAGCAGGGAGAGATGCTGGACTGAATATATGTTTGGAAGTAGACAGGAACAGGATGTGGAAGCTTGGAAGTGTCTTGTAGATGCTCAGACTGAGCCATGGGTGGACAGCACAGCTAGGAAGAGGGCTGGGAGGGGGAAAGGTGGGGAGGAGTTGGAGGGGGAGGGTAAGTGGGCAGGAGCAGGTGTCCCACAGTCCAAGGAGAAGACTCCACTACCCAGGAGGCCTCTGCTGTCAGGAAGATGTGACCGGTTATCTCAGTCACTGAGCAGGTTGACAGAATAAGGAGCTGGTAAATGTCATCACAACATGGAACCGTGTCCCACATCAGAAGCCTGACTCTCCCAGATGCTGCGGGTGCTCTGGTTGAACTCCAATTTCTGCCTCCCTAGAGAACATGTGCTTAGGTCCATCCCTGGGATGCCCCCAAATTCTCTGCCCAGTGAGCACCTGGTAAGTCAGCCAAGTCTGAAATCGGCCTATGCCTGCCCCCTCCGAATCTGATACTCATGCAGCAGCCTCTCAGAGGCACGAAGCAGCCCCAATGCTGGTACATAATTTTTTCAGGGCTGGGCTGCAGCAGCGGCTTGGCGGAGTGGATCGCCCTCTTCCACTTCTGTAGAGAAGCAATAGTCTCAAATCCCAGGATCGTAGGAGGGGAGGCACTCCGGGAATTGTAGCCTGAGCCACCTGACACACACACACAGCTGTCTGGGGAGGGTCACATTATTCTTGAGTTGTTTTTTTTTTTTATCACTCAGGCAAACACATACATGCTAAAGAGCAATCCTAAGACATAGGCTTGCAAAACAGATGCAATGAAGCACTTGCTGTTCACCACTTCATTCATCACTTGCAGTATATCCTTCCTGACCTTGAGCGATGCCTATATAATTAACAGATAGGATTGCATGGCCTATGGAGCCTGCTTTCCTCACTCAGAAATAACTCAGGAATGGCTCTGGCTGCTCCTCGCGTTTCTGCCATTCTTACCTCTTACATGGTGTTTCCTGGTTTCAAAGGTTCACCCCCACCTCCCTCCCTCCCCCCACCAATCCCCCATCCTCCCAGCTTCTGTCCTCCGATGACTATGGCTGCGCATGCTGGTTGCTTAGAGTTGATCACTTTGGTTAAATTTAGTGTTTCCTTGAGCATCTTCCTGCCCAAAGTTTTGCCTTCTCCACTGCGTTATTTCCTTATTTGTTCACCTACAGAGGCATACACCACTAAAGCTTTGTTAAAGGGATAGCCCTGTAAACCGTTCCTTCAATCTACTCTCCAGCCTGAGGCGTCAGAAAGGGAGCATTTTGTAAAATAATGACTTTCAGGGTTTCTAGAAATATGTATTAAAAAAAAAAAAAAAGAGTGACAGAGACCGAGAGAGACAACTCATTCACTGCCCGAGTGGCTGCAAGAGCCAGGAACATCATCAGGTTCTCCCACATGGGTGGCAGGGGCTCAAACACTTGGGCCACTCCTCTGCTGCCTTGCCTGGTGTGTTAGCAGGGAGCTGGGTGGGCAGCAAAGAAACCAGGACTCCAGTAGGGGATGCTGGACTTACAGGTGGTAGCTTATGTCATCACATCACCGCAATAGCCCCAGGTTGTCAGGTGTAAATCCTCTAAGGGGGCGGGGCCTAGCCATTAAGACACCAATTCAGACCTGTGTCCAAATGCTTGGGTTGAAGTCCCACCTCCACTTGTTCCAGGTTCCCGCTAAGACACCCCCTGGGAGGCATCAGCGGGGTCCCTGACACTCTTACCTAGCTCCTGGCTTCAGCCTGGCGCAGCCCTAGCTGTCCAGGCCCTGGGGGAATGAACCCGCAATAAGGAGACACGTCTTTAGCCCTTCCTTTTTCTGCATCTCAATCTGCAAATGCTCTCCATCAATTTCCCCATCATCAGCTCGAGTGTCAGGCCTTGCCCCTCACAACCGAAACCAGGCTTTACATCCGAGCCTGCAGAGGGATGCCCTGCGTGACCTTGATCGGGCTGTGGATGTTCCAGTTGGCATCTCTGCCCGCCTCTCAGCGGTGCCCCTGGCTGTACGGCTGCTGAGCGGCCCCAGGTGGGCAGGAGGAGACGGGCACTGTCCGTGACATGGGGTCCTCACTCTGTGGCTCTCTCCGCCCCTCCGGCCTCCAGGTTGAATTGCTGCAGGCACTCATGGACTATGTGGTGACCACACTGGTGCTGCCCAGGGTGAACGGTATGGTGCTCTGGGGAAGAGAGACGATGGGGCGGAGGGGTGGACAGGTTGGAGGTACCTGGGATACTAGGAAAAGTGAGGGGCAGAAAGGGAACTCCCACAGGTGCCTGAACCCACGGGCTGGGGGCTTAACATCAGCCGAGCAACCCTCTCTGGTCGCACAGAGGGTGACTGGTAGCTCTGGGGCTCAGAGCCAGAACCTGTGGCTCCTCCCAACATGGCAGGAGGGCCAGGAAATCTCTTGCTCTCCTGGCCCAAGGGATAATGAGCATTTCAGACAGGCCTGCCCCTAACCCTAATGCCAGAGGCAACGGAACAGAGAGACCCCCAAAGAACGTCTCAAGAGTATTCAAAAATTAGGTAATAAGCCCTCAAATTGTTCCTTAGGTTAGAACCCATGATTTCATCGTTTGGTCAAGGAACCTTGGTTCTGTCTGGAATTTTCTGTGGTGCTTTGAGCCCCGGGACCACCAGCTATGTCTGCTTTCAGCCCGGTACTGCGTGGCTGTGAGAATGTCCAAGGCGACAATCCTGCCCTCCCACCTACGGCTGCCTGCCGTGGTGTTGAGCCGGTGCTCCAGGGGATGCCGCAGGCCTGGGCCTTTCAGAGGGCAGCCATGGGTTAGAGGCCAGCATGCCTTTCCTGAGCTCTGGGCAGAGGAGGGGCACAGCTCCAGGGACAGTTTCCTAGGAGGTGGGGTCCAGCATGAGGCTGCAGTGTCTCTCATTGCTCTGCTCCACAGAAAAGCTACAGCGAGGCATCCCTCTGCCGATGCCCCAGCGGGTGCAGCTCTATGACCTGGTCCTGCAGACCCACCAGGTGAGTCCCCAGATGGCCCACAGCTGTTCCTCCAGGCTGAACTGGGAGCCAGCACGTCCCACCTGCCCCCGCAACAACTCTGGCACACAAGTACTGTCAGTAAACAAAGAAGCAGGAGTAAGATCCAAAGAGCCACGCAGTGTTCCAGGAAGTCCAGTCCTGGCCTGTAACCATTGCTACACCAATTCCAGGCTCCACCCGGTAACAACAAAGCTCACTGAGGGGCCTTTCCAGGAGGCCCTGCGGAAATTCCCAACAGATCCAGGCTGCCTGCCTTTTGTGCAGAGCTGCGTCCTGCTGGGCCACCAGCCAATGCTAGTGTCTGGCAGATTGCGACACCGACCCTCAGGCCTCCGCTTGGCTTTGCCACAGCACGACCAGAGATGACAAACCTAGGCCGGTGATGTCCCCCAAGCCACTTTCAGCTTCCCCAGGTGTTATCAACTCGGAGCTGCCACCTCGGCGTCACCTAGGCGCCCAGCCATGTTCTCAGCTTCAAGTTTGTCTTTTTTTGAAAAGGCTCATGCATATGCCAGCTTCCTCACCATCTCCACTCTAAGACTGCTTAAGGCCGGTATGTTCTAGCCAAAAGGTTACATCTGCCACGAGGCCACCCATGCAGGGGCGTGTGCCTTACCTTGAGGGACAGCTCTCCTGTCCCACCTGTGCCCCTCATGGTACCCCCCCCCATCACCCAAGTTCCAATCACCGCCTTGCCTTAAATGCCCACTTAGTTGATCCCAGGTTCTTCAGACCAATGAACTAGCAAGGTTTGGAAATTGGAAAAGTAGCCACAGAAACCTTGAAGCATGCCCCCCTGCACCCCCCCCCCCCCCGCGCGCTCTCTCCCCCCATCCCCCCCACCCCATTTCACCAAGTTTCCTTTACAAAGCAAAGGCCCCGGGGCACTTCTGCAAAGGCTGAGTGAAGAGTGCATGGGAACAGAGCCAGGGTGGGAGCCAGGCTCCCTGAGCTGTCAGGAGGCAGGATGACAAGTGAAGGCTCTGTTGCGGCCCCAGGGCTCTGCGTCACAGAACAGCTGCTGGGGAGGCTCCTGACAGGTGCAGGCCCAAGGGTTGCCTTCCACCGGCTGCTGCCTCTGCCCTAAGACTGGCAGCCCCACGCTTACAAGCAGGAGTGCCTTTGCAGGGCGTGACAGCAGCCCCATCTCTCCCTAGGGTTTCCTGGTGCTCGGTGCCAATGTCCAGTATGGCTGAAGAGGGGTTGGCACCTGCTCCCGGCAGGGCCTGGGCATGTTTCTCCAGGGAATCCTCTCTGGGTCTCAGCCAGGAGCCACTTCAACATCTCTGAATTCAGATGCAGACATGACCCCCAACCTGGGGTAGTGTTCACCAAACAAAATGCAGCAGGGGGACAATGAACTTCTTTCAAAGCTCCCAGAATTGCATTTCAACTGTGACCTCTCTCTGTGCTCCACTTAAAAAGAGAGGGAAAAAATAAACCTCTGTTTTCTCCTGTGGATTCTGGTGTTGGCAATCGCTTCTTGCCTTGCGTTCGTTCATTCATTTGTACATTTATTGACTGACCAGTGTGAGACACACTACACTTTACATCCCAGGCATGGACACTTCTTTTTATTTCTAGAATTAATTTCTCAAATCCATACCTGCCTATGTTACAGGCAGGGATACTATTATTCACAGTGTCCTTGAGGTTTCCTTGCTGCAAAAGGGGTCAGGCCCAGAGGATGGGGGAACAGGTCAGTCCACCGGGCTGTTGTTCCTGATACTGCCACACAGTGTCGCTGTTGTGTAGTGACCCTGCACACCCTCCCTGTCTCATCCTGATTGTGCTTGTTTGTTACTGTAATGAAACGCCTGGGACAGGCTACTTTGTAAAGAAGTTGATTTTGGTTCAGGGCCCTGGAGGTGTGAAGTCTAGGAGCCTCATCTAGTGGTGGTTCTCCTGCTGGTAGAGACCAGAGGTGATGCGGAATATCACATGTCAAAGCCTGCTCTGTCTCCTCTTCCTATGAAGCTGCAAGGATTTGGCCCTGGGAGCTCCACTCTCATGGCTTCCTAGTCCCCTCCCAAAGTCCCATCTCCAACCACCACAATCAGGTTAAGTTTCTGCTCCCTTTCTATCTGACAGCAGGGTGAGATTGCAAACCCTGCAGCCCTGGCTTTCCTAGTCCCCGCCAAGGCACCCAAGGCAGAGCACTGCAGATGAAGTCTGCTAGGGCTCCTCCCATCAGCTGTGTGCTAGATGCAATTGGCATTTCCCTGGGATTCTGCAGCACTGGTGTGCAGGCCAGATTGCCAGCCCAGACAGCCCTTGTTCTGGTGGGGCCATGTCCTGCCCTGGGACAGTGGACAGAGCTATCTCCAATCATTACATGTACATTGGATTGAGTGAGCAGATGAGGCAGCCTCTCAAAGGCCAGGAGAGGTGGTGATACAGCCAGAGATTGGGAGCAGGCAGTGGAAGAGGGGAAGAGATCACCGAATTTAGTTTAAAAAAACGTTTTTTTGTGACTCCTGAAAGTTTCAGAAGGGTAAGAATGAGAAGGAATGGGTACAGATTGGGCAACTGTAGTCTTTCAGATCTCAACCACCTTGATGATGATAAAAATGGAGAGAAGTGTTTATAGTGAGCCAAGTAGGTAAAGGGGGCTTTGAGAAGAAAGGCAGGCACACTTGTCGTCCTTGTTGATTGTTAAATGGGGATGGGGGCTCCAGGGCCCCCAGTGGGGGGGGCAGAGATGGGGACTCAGAGGAGTGTGGCACAGGGACTGTAGTTTGTATCACATTGCTGGCAAGGGGCAAAGCTGTGTACCCTGCCATTTGCTCAGAGCCCACACTCTGTCCTCTCCTCCAGGTGCCCAAATCTTGTCTGTTGGGGGGATCTAGTGTGCTCTAGGACAGGACTGCTATGTTCAGTTGCCAAGGTCATGCACTCCAGCCCTAGAAAACCAAAACTTTGTTCTACTTTGCCCTCTGAGAGAGCACACCTTTTCCTACAGAACCACAGCCAGTGGGGGCCCCTGAGTGCCACACAGGGACAGCCCGTGCATGCTTGCGTGTGGCTGGCAGGAGAAACTGGAACCCCGAGTCAGGCTGGGAGGCCACGCCCACTCTGGAGAACTCTGATTTTCCTTCCCAGAACCGAGAGGGGACAGTCTTTCCTGTACTTCGTAAAGAACCCCTCCCCCCGGCCCACTCCTGCCTGCTGTTGGGAGAACAGCTGGTGATTGTGGGGATAATCCCGCCCTAGACCGCTGCCACTTTCTCTCACCTCATCCATCTTGGAGACATGGAGCACCCCTGGAGCATCAATCTCTACTCTCCAAAACATACACACAGCTCCTGCCCTCTCCATAGGGAAACTGGCAGTTATTTCTTGGACCTGGAGATGAGTGAGTAGCATGCACGGTGCCCTGGGAAGGTCCGTCTGATGACTGAGAAGAGGCAGGGTCTGCGATTGAGACCCGTTTCCCATCATGCTCTGAGTTCTCTGCCACCTGCTCCCCAGCCGCCGTGGGAGCAGCTTCTCCCTTGCCACTCATACCACCTGCTCCAGTGACTGCCCATGTGCTCTGGTTCTTTCGGATGTTGGTGATGTTCTAAAGTTAGACAGCAGTGAGGGCTGCACAGCACTGGAAATCCACCCGGGCACTTACTAGGGGGTGGATGTCATGGAGTGTGCATAAAGTTATAAAAATAAAAATTAGAAAAGAACTGTTTGTTCATGGTTGCTTAGAAACCCTCACCATTGGAGCAGAGACAGAGATATGGAGACACAGGAGAGGGGGTGCAAATGAGAGAGATCTTCTAGTTTACTCCCAAAATGGCTGAAACAGCTAGAATTGGGCCAAGCTGAAGCAAGAAGCTCAATTAAAGTCTCTCACCGGGTTGTCAAGGAACCCAAGTACTTGAGACACTACCGACTGCCTCCCAGGGTCCACATTAGCAGGAAGCTAAACCAGAAGCAGAGCCAGGACTTGAACCAGGCACCCAGATATGAAATGCAGGTGTCCCAAAGGGTTCTTAACCAGTGCTCCTAGCAGCCAGCCCTGGTGACTTATTAAACGTGAAGTTGAGGGAGAAGGGGCAGTGGGTCACAGGCAGACTAGCAAGAGGCGCAGTCATCATCCTGTTCCACCCTGGTGGTGGCCACGAGTGGCCCTGCTCTTGGACAGCAGCTTCAAGCCAGTTATCCCCATTGAGTCAGATTTGCTGGACATGCTGGAAAAGAGCAGCAAGCTGGCAGGAGAGCAGGAACTGCTCACGCACTGCACCTGCCATGAAAGCCCCCTGGCATTAGGTTAAACCTTGTGGCCCAACAGGTTTTGGGCAGAGCTGGGCACAAGCCAATCTCGTCCCTTGCTGGGCGTCAGCTTTCCCTTCTGCAAAAGCAGGGGTTTGTTTGGGATTCATAGAAAGAATTCTGTAAAGGGAGAGATTTTCAACTTTCGCAGAAGTTCCATGGGGTCCCCAAAGGCCCAGGAAACAAGGCCACTCCTGGGACTATTGGGACTGCAATGCCAGGCAAAAGAAATGGGAGAGTTCTCATGTCCCCCAATTCTTCTGGATTTAAGGCTAGGTGTAAATAAGGCCAGAGACCCCAGGCAGCCCTTGTGCCCCAAGTTCCCGTGACACCTCATCTTCAAATCACTCTGATCACCACTGGCATTGCTGGGTCTTGCGGCCGACCTGCATGTCCAGAGTTCTGGGGTTGGATGTAGAGCTGCAGGGGCTGGCGCTGGGAGAGGAGGCTGCTGGGCATCTCAAAGCATCCACACCCAGAGCTGCTCATCTCCCCAGACTCTCTCTCCAGCAAGAACCTGTATTCTTGGGGATGCCCACGCTGTCCTCTGAGGCTGCATTGCCCATGAGTGTGCACAGGGTTGTGTGACTATGGGCTGAGGAGGAACCAGCCTCTCACCAGGTCCTTGTCCCAGAAGTCGCACCCGTGGGCCTCATCAGGAAACTGGTTGGAAAGGCAAAATCCAGTACTCAATCACCCAGAGGAAGAGCTGAGCCAGAATTTGCTTGGAAACAAGAGCCCTGTGGGATATGCTTGCAAGCCACTGTTACCAAACCCAGCCTCCTGCCCTCATCTGCACTGGGAGGGGGTTGGGGGACTCAGAGCGTGACAGAGTCTGCCCTGGGCCCCACGGCCCCATGGGAGCAGCGTCTGCCAAGCCTCTGCTTCTCCAAGCCAAGGCCAAAGGCCACTTCAGAACGGGAGGCGGGCACTGTCCGTGGCATGCAGCTGGTGCCCAGCTAGTTCTTACCAGACGCAGGGAGGATTACAAGGCATGGGAGGCTAAAGGAGCAGCTAGGCTGGGGACCAGGGGGACAGACAGGACACGGTAGGCGACTGAGAGCGTGGGCAGCTCTGATCTGGGCCCCAGTGGAAGTTCCTCTGTTATCCCTGCCATGTTCCCAAAGGCAGGTGCAGGGGGAGAAGCTAGAGATCCCACCTGGGACAGAGGGAAAACGGGAGAATTTGCCAGCACAATGAAAAGGGCCACCTGTACCGCGGGAAGGTGGTAATGAGAGACATTCTAGCACAGAAAAGTGCAGGGGGATGTGGGGGTTCAAGGAGGAGATTCCTCCAAGCAGAGAATCACGGGACAGTCCAGGAAGGTTTCCTGGAGGTGAAGAGAGAACGAAGCTCATCATCATAGAGTGTTTGGGGGTAAAACTCCAAAAATTAAGCAACATCACCGTTATACATTTTGCTTTCCAAAATGAAATTTTGTTTATAAAAGACAATATGTGCCCAAAGAACACCCTCAGAAAATTAAAATTGTAAATAGCAATAAGAAAAATGTTTTTTTTTAAAGCACCTAGAATCCTACTTTCTAAGCCAGGAATAACCCCTGAAAATTCCCTGCTAAATCCTTTCCAGCTTGAAACCCATCTCCGCAGCTGCCGTGGTCCAAGCAGGGTGAGCTGCTGGTGGCCACAGCCGTAGCCTGTACAGATGCACAGAATCGAATTCTGGCTGCTGCTCCACTTCTGACCCAGCTCCCTGCTAATGCCACCCACATGGGAGACCCAGATGGGAGTTCTTGGCTCCTGGTCCAGAATTAACTGCTGTCGGGGTGGGTAATTGGGGGAAAGAACCAGCAGCTCTCTCTCCCTCAAGATGTATTTTATTTATTTGAAAAGGCAGAACATCAGAAAGAGAGAGAGGGAAATCGGTAACTTTCACCTGAATATTCGCTGCCCAGATGGCCACAGCAAAGGCACGGGGCAGGAGCTCAGTCCGAGTCTCCCACATGGGTGGCAGACACCAAGGATTCTACTGCCTTCCTTGTGCATTAGCAGGGAGCTGGATGGAAAGCAGAACAGCTGGGCTCAACCCTGGGTTCCTACAGGAGATGTTAGTGTCACAGGTGGCTCAACCTACTGCAGCAACACCAGCCCCTTCCCCTCCTTCCTTCCTCTCTCATTCTCTGCCTTCCAGATAAATATTAAAGAGGATGAAGCCCCTTGTGGACAAAGACATGGAGCCTCTCCCGTGTGGCACGCTTCCCAGGAGCCCCTAAGCTGGATAAGAAGAGCAGCCCCTTCTGCAGTTCTTGGGGTGTGATAACCCCTCCAGCCCAATCCATCCCCCTCCAGGCAGCGGCAGGCATCTTTGTGCAGGACGGATTTGCACACTCACTTCCGCACAGAGAAGCAAATTCTCAAAGCAGAGTAGCGGGTGGCAGGCAGGTTGATTATTTTTTCCATTGCCATCCAGGAAAGCAGCAAGCTTTGAGAGAGCCCAATTCTTCTCCAAGTAAACAGAGTCCAGTACGAGGAGCAAGTTCGGATGGCCCCAGACCTGGCCCCTGGCCCAGCTCTGCCATGTGCTAAATGTGCGATCTGGAGGGAGCCGCAGGGCCTCTCTGAACCACCAGTTCCTCTTGGGTAACCCCAGGCCTTCCAACGAGGCCCATAAGAACTTGGCTGAGAAGAGGCAAAACCTCTGGTGGCCAATGTCAGGGCCTTCCAGGAAGAAAGTGTGGAATTCACCACCACCCCCCGCTGCACACCGACACCCTGAGCTTTGACCCTGGTGCTGTGGTGGTGTCGCAAGCAGGTTCCAGGCCCCGGGGCCTCCCCTTCCCGCTCCCAGGAACCGCCTCCAGCCTGAGCTACTTAAGGGTGCCAGGCTCAGGCCATAGTGTGATGGTCCTGGCCCAGCCTGCAGGGTGCCCAGGATGGGGGCCTTGGCCAGGCTTCTGCTGAGATCCACTCTGCTTGGATTGCTACTCACATCAGCCCCAGGGTCTCTGGGTGCCAACCCCGGCCTGGTGGCCAGGATCACAGACAAGGGCTTGGAGTATGGTAAGAAGTCATGGCAGGTGACTGGGTAGGTCCTGGGTTCAGTGGGGGGACTTTGTCCATGGGACTGGATCAGCCGTTCTCTACCTCGGCTCCAGCCTCTTCCCCCACCATTGTGAGGCTTGGGCCCATTACTCAGATGAGCTGGGTTTCCCAGCAGCAGACAAGGGCCAGGATCTGGGTGTGAGCAGTTGGTCTGGGAGATGCTGGCGGGGGGAACTGCTGAGGGAGGAGATGCGTGGAACCACTGCTGGGTGATGTGAAGCCAGCAGTGGCCCCAGGGGGATGAGAACAACCCTCTGGAAACAGCCCTGGCCAAGTCTGAAATCAGCAGTGAGAACCTAGGGTCCACCAAGACAAGCAAAGACCTAGAAGGGGCACAAGGGTGGCTGCAGGGAGCTGGCATGCACTGCAGTGTGAGCGCAATGACGATCACATGGTATGTAAAAACTCTAAACTTGCCTGGTGATACCTTTAAAGTCAGCACCTGCTCAGTTATATATCAATGCACCTATGATACATGTATGTTCACAGTCAGGGAGTCTATGTAGCAATCACATTCACCTGGGGAGGGTTATTGGGACACCAGCTGCCTGGGGACAGACAGGGATATCATGGAAAGCTTCCCGGAAGAAGTGAAATGGAAAAGAATAGTGCAGAATTGGCCAGGGGTGAAGGGTAGCAGTGCGGTCAGAGGGGCCCCCAGCACGGGGGTTTGTGAGAAAGAGGAGAACCCAAGGAAAAGAGGGCACAGGGCACTTCTAGCCGGCTGGGTTCACACAGCCAGCTGGGTGTCAACTCCCAGCTCCCGGGCAGCCCAGCAGGACTAGCAAGGGCCGTCAGTGTGCAAACCTTCTCCAGGAGGCTGTGCCTCGCGCTCCGCCCTGATGTGAGAACTCACCTGTGTGCTGTGACCAGCCCCCCTGAGGTCAAACTTCCTCCTTTTTCCTATATTGAATCAAACAAACCCTGCTTTTTTTGGTCTAGGCATTTGCTGGGCACCTGCTGGCAGTGCCCTTTTGGCTTTGTAAATTGTAAATTGTGGTGCCCAGTGAGGCACGTATTGTTATCACTGTGGCTGGAACAGCATAGGGAGTAGAGCACTGGGCTTCACTCTGAGCCACCTGGAAGGCAACACACACCAAGGCTCTAGTCCCAAACCCTTCCCATTTCTGCCCTATGGGGTGATTGTCCTGGAGACCACAGGTAGGCAAGCAGAGGGCTACCCCTGTGCCTTCTCACACTCCCTGGCACACAGCGGGGGGGAAGGGGGTGGGTGCAGCAACCTGTAGCTAATTACTGCAGAAGGCAGGGCAGGTGAGGGAGGCGGCCCAAGCTGATTGGAGTGTCTCCATCTGCAGCGGCCAGGGAGGGGCTGCTGGCTCTGCAGAGGAAGCTCCAGGACATCGAGCTGCCTGAGTTCTCCGGGGACTTCAGGATCAAACACATCGGGCGTGGGAACTACGAGTTCCACAGGTGGGGCTGCGGATGATCCTGTATCCTTCTCCAGAGTGGCAAGCTGGGATGCAGGCTGGCGTCTGCAGAGGTCTGAAGGGGAAGACGGGCCTGAGGCTGCAAACAGAGCTTCAGTTAGCACCAGGGCAATCAAGGCAGGCTCACCAGAGGAGGTGGCGTTGGCACTGAGTCTTCAAGGAATCCCCTGATATTAACAACTGGTGCTAAACAAAGTCAGGAAGTGCTTCTTGTGGGCTGGGAAATGCAGGGAGGGCAACAGGTCTATGGCTCATTGCACCTTCACCACTCCTTCCTCCTTCCTGGCCTCCTTACTTTCCCCCTTTTATTCAGCCCGTTAGTGACTGTTTAGTGAGCACCTGCGATGGCACCTCCTCCCCTCCATCCCACATGGCCCTTTGTGGCTCCCTTCTGGGTCTTCCCTGAATCTGACTTCCTCCCCTGGCTGTGTCCAAGGCAGGGTGGGGCTCCTGTGACTGATCAACTACACTCCCTCCCCAAACTTCCATTCCCTCAACAACACCACAGATCACTCTGCTATGACCTAAGGAACACACAGGGCTGGGCGGGGTCGCAGAGCAAACACTGGGGGGTTGGGGTTGGGGGCGGGCAGGTGCTCCAGAAGGAGCGGTGAGGGGCTAACGGCAAGGGGAGGATAGGGGAGGTGCAGGCCCAGAGCTGATGTCTACTGGGTCTCCCCCTGCAGTCTGCAAATCAAAGCGTGTGAGCTCCTCGGCGCCACCCTGAGCCCTGTCCCCCGCCATGGCCTGCATCTCGCCATCTCCAATTCCTACATCCGCGTGCAGGGCGCCTGGAAAGTGCGCAAGTCGTTCCTGTAAGTTGGCTCTGCCCCCAGGCCTTGGAGTGCTCAGAGCGCCTGGGAAAGGTGGCGCGATGGGGAGAGGAAGCCAGCGCCAAGGCCTAGGGCCGACTGCTTCGCTGCTTGCAGAGGGCGCATCTGCCCCGCAGCGCGGGTGCCAAAGTTCACCGGGACCCATTGCAAGTGTTTTACTCAGTCTGCTGCTGCTCGTTTGGCGATGCTTCGCGGAGTTGCCCCTACGCCTTTAGCTCTCTCTAGAGCCCCAGGTTGGAGGCTCAGAAATCAGATTCTGAACCACAGAGTGCATGCCCTCCAGCTGTGCACCCCAGAGACTGTGCCAGGGGGCACTGGCAACCCCAGGGTGGGATGTCCATTCACCAGCACTGTGCCAACACCGCATGGAAAGCTTCACAAGTTTTGTTTGTCTGATAGGTGAGAAGTGGTATCATTGTCATGTTCTCTTAAGATTTAATCATTTATTTGAAAGGCGGAGGTACAAAGAAAGAAGAGACAAAGAAAAAGAGACCCTCCATCTGCTGGTTCATTCTCCAAACGGCTACAACAGCCAGAGATGGGCTGGTCCAAAGTCAAGAGCTTGGAGCTTCTACTGGGTCTCCCGTTGGATGCTGGGTGCTGGGGGCCCAAGTACTTGGGCCATTCTCTGCTGCTTTCCCAAGCATATCAGCAGAGAGATGGATCAGAAGTAGAGCAGCTTCAACTCCAACCAGGGCCCATATGAGATACCAGCACTGCAGGCAGAGGTTCAGCTTGCTATGCCACTGCACCAGCCCAATGTTCATTTTTAATAACTTCTCATCTTATTTCCCATTAACACTATTCTCATACCATTGATCACTTTTTTCTTTAGGGATGTTTTTGCCCTCTCCTTATTAATTTATATCAGCTTATTCTTTATCTATATCTATATATAAATATATAAAATTAAGTTGTAAGGCAGAGTTATAGAAAAAGCAGAAGAGACACACATACAGAGCAAGAGAGCTCAACCATCCACTGGTTCACTGCCTAAATGACTTCAACAGCCAGGGCTGCGCCAGGTTGAAGCCAGGAATCAGGAGCTCCTTCCAGGTTTCCCCTGGGGATGCAGGGGCCAAAGCACTCAAGCACCCTCTGCTATTTCCCAGGCACATTAGCAGAAAGCTGGATTAGAAGTGGAGCAGCCAGGACTCGAACCAGTGCCCACATAGGATGCTGGTGCAGCAGATAGTGGTTTAATGGGCTATGCCACAGTCCCAGCCCTGGCTTGTCCATTGTAAGATGAAGGAAAATAGTTCATTGGCAGCTTCCTATATTAAGGAAATGAGCTCTTACGATGCTTTTTTTTTTTTGTCATGATGCATTTCTTTGTTATGTTGCCTGTGGTGTGTCTTATTCACTGGAGTTTTGGTTCTCTGACACGTGAAGCTAATCAGCCTGTTCCTTTGCGGCTTCTGAGACTTCAATCTTGCTGGAAATGTCTATGTCCCTTTTTTGGCCATAAAATGCTGACCCCAGGCTTTCTTCTAGATCTTTGCGGGTCTTGTTTGTTGCTCTTATGTCTTTGCTTAATTCCACTTACTCAAAGACAAGAATTGGGCTGTCAATCCGCCCTCAACCTCAACGAAGAATTAACCATTGTTCCTCTCCCTTTCTGCAGGAGGCTGAAAAACTCCTTTGAGCTGCATGTCAATGGCATCACCATTGCAGTCAACCTCCTGCTGGGCAGCGAGCCCTCCGGAAGGGCCACAGTGACCACCTCCAGCTGCAGCAGCCACATACGCGATGTGGAGGTGGACATAGACGGGGACCTGGGGTAAGGTCACCGCCGAGATACCCTAGACATGGCCAGCCTGGGGCCGGAAGCCTGCAGGCTTTGGACGGATGGGTCAGGCTCTTCCTGGACGCTGGAAGAAAGAACGCCCTCTGGCGGACACTGTTGGCATGCTCAGATGCTGATTCAAGTCCGGGACATTGATGTTTTTACCAAAACAAAACAAAACAAAACTCAAATGCCTGGGTCTTTGTAAGGCAGATGAAAGGCAGTTATTGGAGAAGCAAGAAGGTGTTTGATGAAGGAGAGCTTGTGCGGATCACATAAGTCCCAGGACGAATTATTTCCTTTCTTACTCCGTTCTCCTCCCCTACATCCCTGACTCTGAGCAGGTGTAACAGGTGGCTGAGTAGCCAGGTGCACCAGAATGCGTTTGTGGGACCCTGAGGTGCTGCAGGTGCCGGGATGGGGTAGGGGAGCTCTCCCTAGGGGACTGTCCCCCATGGTCAACAGTACACTCCACATGTGTTTCCCCACAGGTGGCTGCTGAGTCTCTTCCACAACCAGATAGAGAACAAGCTGCGCCGAGTGCTGGAGAAGGAGGTCAGTGGGGCCAGGCTGGATGGAAGGCTGCAGACAGGCGAGTTTTGCTGTGGCAGGGCCAGGGAAGCTGGTCTGGGCACACATACAGAATACCTACTTGCCTCAACTGTATTTATTTGAAAGGCAGAAGTTCAGAGAGAGGGAGAAACACAGAGACAGATCTTCCACCTGCTGACTCAGTCCCCAAATGGCTGCAAGACCAGGGCTGGGCCAGCCCAAAGTCAGGCACCTGGAGTTTCTTCGGGTATCTCCCGTGGGTGCAGGGACCCAAGCACTTGGACTGTCATCTCCTACTACCCCAGGCACATGAGCAGTGAGCAGGATGGGAGGTGGACAGCCAGGTCTCCGCCCTGGGCTCCAATGTGGGTCATCCCACTGAATGTTAATCACTAGAGGAGGTGCTGCCATCCTCATCCCTGAGAAATGGAGGAGCTCACCCTGTGTCATGTGGGCTGGGGAGAGGCTAGGTCAGGAGCGGAGCTTCCTGGGATGTGGGGTACCTCCAGCTAAGGCCTCCCAGGGGCCTGGTGTCCTGGAATAGGAGGGAAGCCTCCCCTGAATCCCTCCCCAGAATTCCCATTCTGTGGAATTCCCTCCCACAGAAGCCAAGAGCTGGGAGCAGAGCCTCTCTAGCTGCCCCCGGATGCCACCATGGCATCTGAACTGCAAGGTGGAGAGGCAGTAGCAGCTCTTGCCTCTCACCTCACTATCTGACCTTGGCCTTGGCACTGCATCTTGCGTGTGAGGCCCATGGGGCAGAGAGACAATGCAGAGGTCACACTGGGGGTTAGGGGAGAAGCACAGAGCAGGATTTGAACCCAGGCTTGTTCGACTCTCCTGCTGCGTTCTCACCAGCCCCGACCCATCTCCCTGGGAGACTCAGTTGTACCCCCAGGCCTCCCTATAGGAGTGGGGCAGGTGAACACAGGTTTGGGCATAGCTGCTGGGCTGTTATCTGAAGGAAAACCCAAAAGGGACACACAGTGAGGCCACAGCACCATCTTACTCCCTTGCAACCAATCTATAATGTTCCTCACCACCCACTTCTCCATGCTTTCTGGCAGTTCCTGGATACTGAACTCCCCCAGAAACTGGGAAAGCTGCCAAGAGAGCTTCAGCTACAATGCCTTGCCTGCCCAGCCTCCAGCAAGCCCCAGCCATATGCCTGGGACCTGATCCATGCCTGCTCACCCTGTAACATACCCTTAGAAAGTCCCCTGTTCCAAGAAGCCTCCTGTGACCCCTACATGAGGCCAGGGGGCTCCTATGTCCCTCTCCTACCTGTCAAGTTAGACAAATGACACAGTAGCCAGCAGCTGGATAATTTCAAACTAGAGTGAGAACACCCCAGCACCCAGAGCCAAAGAAAATCTTGACATTTGAGCCTGGTGTTTTAAAATCCAGCAAAGACAAATTCACTTGGCATCGTTTGGTGTAGGGCACAGAACTCGCTGCAGCAGCCTCTTGACTGGCACTGCACTTGGTCTTTCTTGCACCTGCTACAAAGTCCGGATTAGGTTTCTTCCGTTACAGTGGCGACTCAAAGACACATGGAAAGTCATCCCAGTACAGAATCCTATAGGTTTCCACGACTGTTTCCCTACCCTATGCATCGTGTGGTCTTGTCCAGCCTTGACCGCGTGGTTTTAGCACCTCCCCTTTCAGAGTCTGGCAGAAGCAGCTCTCCCTCAGTCACAGGCATTGGCTGAGTGGCAGCTCACCGGAGCGAACAGATTGGCAAGCGCAGTCAGTGGGAAGGGGTAGGGGTAGAAATAATTTTTTTTTTCCCAAGACAGTCCCGTTCAGACAGTGATGGCTGATTGCGCATGGTTAGTTCCCTACCCCCGCCAACAGGAGCACTGAGTCTTCTCTGGGCACACAGAGGACGGGGAGACCAATGACAGTTGGGGTGCGTTCGTATTAACTTTACATCTATCTATCTGCATGGCTGTTTCTAGTTACCAGCCAGCTCTGCTGTGAAACTCTGAATTCTGGGAACCAGGGTCTCCCCAAGGAAAACCTTTCTAATGCTAGAGTTGTGGGCAGTGTCTCCAGCGAGGTTGCCTCACCCCACTGTGCCAGTGATCACTCAGACGATCAGCTGTGGGACAGACTATGGAAAATGCAACGGGACATTTTTGGGGTCCACATGGGTCTGCTTATCTTTATCATGCCTGGGCCCTAAGAAGCACTCAGCAGCATTTGTAGAATTGGTGACCACTAAGGGAACACGGGAAATAATGTGACCCAAACCATAGTGTTGGTCGGGGCCTAAACCGAGTCTTCTGGAACTTGTTCTGTTTTCTCAGATTTGCGAACGTATCAAGGAAGCGGTGACCTCTGACCTCCAGCCTTATCTCCAAACACTGCCAGGTAGGGCACCCAGCCGTGCCTGGGCCACTGGTAACTTCTATTACAGACAGGTAACTGTCATCCATCAGATGTGCGTGAGGCAGACTGGAGACCCTTTCCCACCCCACACTTCTTCCAAGAGGTAACCTGTGTTTGGGATGTGTCTTTTCCCGTGTGAACACACACAAACAGGTGTGTCTACCTTCAGACATGCATTCTTCCTGCTGTGTATATCTGCATAGTTATGAATATGTATTATCATGCAGAGTATTATGGATCCGTGGGCTGTTTTTTGTTTATCTTGTTGCAGGGTCTTCTCAATGTCCATGGGCATGTTATAAAAAAAAAAACTCAATTTTTTGCATCAAAATAAATTTCCTTTTGAATTCCATCTTTCCACAGACTTTGTGAAGGACCCCCATATATCCTGGGGATCCTTTATTGGCACATATAAATCAACCTCATTTTCAAAATCATTTCACAACACTTTATTCACAGAGGAATACTCATGCTTGTGCTCACATCACAAGTGCACAGCTTAAAGGCTTTGCACCCACGGCTCACCTGTGTGTAAGTAACTCCCAAGTGGAGACACAGAGAATGGCTGGCCTGGCCTTCTCCTGGCTGTGCAGGCTCCCCTGGGATGCCCACTCGGCCACTGAAGGCTGTTGAGGCAGCTTTGCTTTGAGACCGCCGGGGGAGTCGTGCTGCTCTGAATGGTGCAGTGCGTAGGCAGGCCACCTGCCTGCGGAAGGGCACCTGCAGGGGAAACGGCCAGCTCCCCCAGCACACAGAGGTCCAGCATTAACACATCCTACTAGGCAGTTTTCCAACAGTGGCCATCCCAGACCTCGGTCTTCTCAGCTGTGTAGTTCCACCAGATGGAATCCACTTCCTTTCTGGAACAGGTTTCCACCGATGGACACTTACGGGTTCTCGGCTATTGTCCCCAAGGGGCCCAATTGTGAACACCTCTTTACCAGCATGTATAGGGGCATCTGCAGGATGATCACGGGCGAGGAGCAGGTGGGCAGCATGCAGCAACCCGCCGCCCCACCACTGAGTGCTGACACACGAGGTCTGGCGGACCCAATGTGTGGCACGCTCAGGGCTGTGGAGTGCCGTGGTTCACCTGGTAGTGGGCATGCAGCTCCACGTAGTCTCTTACGTGCAGGCTGGGTTGTAGGGGGCTGGGGATGGGGGAGGAGAGAGATGGTCTTGGGTGGAGGGACAGGAAGCTGGGAAGAAAGACACAGGTAATGGCCAAAGCCTTCACCCCTTCTCTGAAACAGAGGTTGCCCCTGACGCCTAACCCTGCCTCTCTCCTGGTTCAGTCACAGCAAAGATCGACAGTTTCGTTGGCATCGATTACAGCTTAATGGAGCCCCCTCGGGCCACAGCCCAGACTCTGGAGGTGATGTTCAAGGTGAGCCACCTGGAGGAGGAGCATGAGTGTGTCCTGTCCCAAGGATGTGTCCCCAGGGTCAGCTGGCTCCTGGGACCACCTGTCCCCCCTTCCAAAGACGCCCGTGCTAGGGCTAAGGGCAGGGTGATATGGAGCTCTGAGGAGCATTCTCAGAGCTAGCAGCCCTGTACAGGCAAGCCCCGCACAGACATCTCACAAGCCCAGGGTTCCCAGACTTGCCCTCCTCCTTCCCCCTGTTCCTCCCACCTTACATGAGAGGTCAGTCAGAACTGGCCTGGGGTTAAGGAGTGCCCTGGATGGCCCCGACGTTGGCCAGGACCTCTGTGGGTTCAGACATGAGAGCTTCAGCCACACTCTCACCCCAAGTAAGCAGACTGTGGAGGACTTCCAGGCACAACCTCCAGCCATTGCCACTCCAGCCGGGTCAGGCCGTGTGGGGGTCAAGTCCTGTTGGCCCCTGTGTCTCTCTCCAGGGGGAAATTTTTCATCTGAGTCACCGCTCCCCAGTGGATTTTCTTGCTCCAGCCATGAGCCTCCCTGAGACACACAGCCAAATGGTCTACTTCGCCATCTCCGATTACGTCTTTAACACAGCCAGCGTGGTTTATCACAAGTTGGGGTACTCCAACTTCTCCATCACGGATGACATGGTAAGGACCCATCCTTCCAACCTGCTTCCATCCCACCTCCCCGTTGCCATCAGTGACACTGTCAGTCATGCCTAAGGAAAAAATTCTGGGTCAGGAAAAACAGAAAGTTTGAACAATTTCCCTTTTTTCATTTTGTCTGCTAACCGAGCACAAACCACAGTTTTCGCCCTTACAATAAGCGTGAAGGACTTTGCAGTTCGTTGGTCTGTGTTTTGCTTTTTTCCTAGTCCAGTTGCATTATTCTAATTAAATTTTCCTCTCATCTGGATGATGTGTGGAGATTAATTTACAACTATGAGTCAATGTAGCAGAATAAATGATGCATTGTTAGAGGAGTTTTTAAGTAAAGCATGATTATGAAGACACAGAGCCTATAGAATGGTTGTTTTTTTAAAAAAAAAATAAGAAAGAAAAACTCCAAATCAGGAAGCTCCCTGGCAGCTCACGTGAAAAGGTCAGGGTAAACAGGCAAAACAAAGTCTGCCTGACATTTATCTTTAAAATAACTATCTTCGTTGAGGTTCTTATAAGGGAGCCTGGCTTCTATAGCAGATCCTCTGTTTGGAATTTCCCTGCTTTCAAAGGGTTGTTTCTTATAGCACTTCATAAAAGCGTGCATCTCATGAATGATGAGGTGCGTCCTGTCTAACATGGATGGGCCAGTTGACATGGTCAGCCACAGGAGTGACGCTCTGTCTCTCGGGGGCTCTGCTCCCCTGAGGTCCACATTCCGTGGACCAGGCCTCTCTTGTTGGTAGGGTGATCGCAGTGAGGCCGTATGGAGCACTCACTTCGTGCGAGGACATGTGCTAGCTAGCCACTCTCAGAGCCAATCACACTGACCTGGAGGTGGGGACAACTGTTACCCCCATTCTGTAGATGAGCAAGTTGAGGCTTACAGACACAGGAAAGGTCTGGTCTGGGATCACACGGTGACCAAGCTGAGAACCAAACATGAGTCAGTGTGATTGCAAGCTTCAGTCTGGAGCGTTCCCCGTCTGCCTGCTCTCTCTGGACCTCCACACTGGCTTCCTAAGACACCTCTGTCTCTGCCATAGATTCCATCAGATTCCCACATCCGGCTGACCACCAAATCCTTCCGTGCCATCGTGCCCAGGGTAAGGGTCCTCGCAGCCCCGGTCCCCTCCCCCAGGGGTGCAGACAGCCTGCTGGCATTCAGAGGTACCTCCCAAGACCCCCACATTCCTCTCAGCTTGGCCAAGGATCAAAGGTTGTCGGCCACCCAAAAGGGGAAGCTGGGGCACTGAGGGTGTCAGGGTACCCCACCTTTGGGATTCCCAATAAAACTACAGTACAGACCTGTGCATCTGGGATCACAGGCCGTTCAGCCTTTTCCTGGTGCTAAGAACCCTCAGGCCTGTTCCCCACCTTGGACCCTAACTAACAATAGTTACAGAGGGCTCATAGGGGACCAAGACTATCAGATTGTATGAACCATTCCAGTGACATGCAGGGATAAGGCATGTAGCAAACATGGCTTCTCCTATCCCTCTCTCTTTCTCTCCTTTTTTTTTTTTTTTTTTTAGCAAATAGAGAACTGTCACACTCCTTTTCAATATCTGAAAGACCATTCCTTGTGGATCTAGAGATAGCTTTCTCACCCTTTTCCTCAGTGGCATCCCACCTGCCACAGGGGGAGTGGGGAGTTGGCTGTGACTTGTTTAGACACCCTTGGACAAGGACACATTGGCTGTCTACCAACTTTTGCTGAATCCGTTACTGTGAGCCGCCTGGTAGCTCTGTCATTGCTGGACTGAACTTTCCATTTCCATCATCTCATCTAATCCCCAAACAACCTGCTGCTCCTGTCCACAGTCCCCGAGGTCCCCAAGATACAGCCTAAACAAGCAGCAGTGATGACCATGCCTTGTAGATTGCATGGTGATGGCAGCTAGGAGGGTTACAGATAGGGGAAAGTCATCTCTCTGTGCAGGCAGACGTCCAGCTGAGCTATCCCGAGGAGAGGCAGACCCAGAACCAACCACAAAGCCCCCTTGGCCTGCCTGACCCCTTGTGGCCCTTGGGAGAAGCCCACACTTTCTTCTCTTGATTTGTTCCCAGATAGCCAAGCTCTACCCCAACATGAACTTAGAGCTCCAGGGGTCAGTGGTCTCTGCCCCTGTCCTGACCCTCAGCTCCGAGAACCTGTACATGGCACCCCAGATGGAGATCGAGGCCTTCGTGGTCCTGCCCAGCTCTGTCAGGGAGCTTGTCTTCCGGCTTGGTGTGGTAAGCCTCGTGGCCATTGCAAACACTGCTCTTTCTTCCAGCATCGGAGTGGTTTTCCATCACTCAGCTGATGGCTTCAGACCTCACAGTCACTATTACTTCCCCAGCCTGCTTTGGCTGGGCCTTGCCTTTTTCTGGAAGCAACCCTTCACAGTGTTCATTGTGGAGTACTTCTGTGGCTCTTGGCAGACTCATTTGTTCAGTGTAGAGATCTCCCGCTGAGTGCATCTGGGCTGCTATGGAGAGAGCAGTCCTTGAGTCCTGAGTCCTTGACTCAGTCCTTCCTTGTCCTTGTCCTGTTGACTCTGTTCTGCTAACCCATATTGGCTCCTAAAGACTACATTTCCCAGGTTCCCTTGCACTCTAACTTCCTGTTAGGTCAGCCAATGGGAGGGACTCTTAGGAGGGTGGAGGAGAAGGGAAGGGCAAAGCTTCTTTGCCTTGAGCCTAGAGGTCTTGGCTATAACATCTCCACAGTGGTCTCCCTGACCCACTTCCATCTTTGTTCCTCTAGTCCTGGGGTGGAAGCAGTCCCAGCCACTGTGACTCTTTTGTGGCCTCAATGTTTCTTGCGTTCAGTGACTCCAGCGCTTGCACAACAATGGCTTTGAATTATTATTATTATTTTTTTAAGATTTATAGAGAGAAATAGAGAGAGAGATCTTCCATTTGCTGGTTCACTTCCCAAATGGCTACAGTAGCCAGAGCTGAGCCAATCCAGAGCCAGGAGCCTGGAGCTTCTTTCAGGGTCTTCCAAGTGGATACAGGGTCCCAATGACTCAGGGCTTCCTGCACTACCTTCTCAGGCCATCAACAAGGAGCTGGCTCAGAAGTGGAGCAGCCAGGATGCAAACCAGCACTCATGGGATTCCAGCATGTGCAGGTGGAAGATTAGTCTGTGCAGCCATTGTGCCAGCCCCTGAATCCTTTCTTGATGGGCCCTGGCTAATTGAGAAACAATTCCAAATCCTTTGGGAGAACTTGGCTCCTGTGTTTCAGGGTTGCAATACCACGAGGTGAATCTCTGATATTGTTGCCAACATCATTGCTGTTCTTAATAGATTTTTAAAATGAGATATAACTTATAATGATTATTACCGGTGCTAACTGTGGACCCTGCGATCGCTGGAAATGTCTCTTTTTAGAGTTCTCCAGGGACAGGCATACTGTGCCTTCTTCTGGCCATCTGTTCAAAGTTCAACCGCCATCATGGGAAGCCCTCTTAAGTTCCAACGTGCGAGGCCCAGCTTCAAGCACTTACTGAGCACTTACAGTGAGGCCCCTGGGAAGCTGTGGTCTGCTGGGTGAATTTCTCGCTTTGGCTGAACCGAGCCATTGTGACAGGAGACAGCTGGTACTCACAGTCAGCCTTCCATGCCTGCCCACAACAGCCATCAATTACACCTGCTGCCTTCTCTCGCCTTTTCCAGGCCACTAACATGTCGGCCACGCTGACCTTCAACACCAGTAAGATCACTGGGTCCCTGAAGCCAGAAAAGTAAGTCAGCCTCCTGCCCACAGCCAGGTGCTCCGCTGCTGGCCACTGTGGTTTGCTGTCTGTAGCTGGGGGAGGAGAAAGTTGGGGGAGGCTGAGGTGAGATCCCCTGGTCCATGTTTGGGTTAGGAACTTGAATTTTATCCCAAGGGCTCCAAGTCTTTCACCCCCATTGATCTGCCCCCACACATTCCTGTTTACTGAAGAATGTACAATGACCGCTTCTTCTTAATCCATGCGTTCTAGAACATTGCTATATTAATTTTATAACTGAAAGGATTAAGATGGGGATGTTCTATGCCCCCTGTCTCCCCACTGTCAGTCTTCCCAGAGTTGGGGCATCATTGCTGTGGGATATTCAGTCGCCTTGTCCACCCCCACTGTGCCCTTGGCCCAAGCAGTCTCCTACCCAGAACCTCTTGGTTCTGGGGACTCCAGCATGGCTAGGCTTCCTGTGTGTAGAATACCTACATTTCCAGCTCTCTCTGATTCCCTCTAGGCTGCAGGTGGAGCTGAAAGAATCCAAGGTCGGCGGATTCAACGTAAGTGGTTTTAATTCACAGCACGACTAGGCTGCCAATGGCTGTAGGATGTGTTCCAACCAATCGCTGTGCTCCTGCGGTAGAAAGCAGAGAACAGGGTGCCCTCAGCCCTATGGAAACATGGAGGTTCTAGCCAGTACAAGACACAGAATGGAGAAGCAGCTCCACCCAGTGTGGGTAAAGCGTGGTTCTGCTCTCCAGTGGACACCCAGTGAGCTGCAAAGACTAGAATGCCAGCTCAAATTTTCCTAAGCATACAGGAAGAATGCAGAGGGTCCTAGAACTAAAAGTCAAAGGAAAAAGGAAAAAAACCCAAGACCAGAGTTCACTGCCCAGTGGGAACCAGGCACTTGCCTTATTACCTCCAAACTATGCCTCCCACTTGCCATTCCACTTTCCTCTGTGTTGGGTTCATCCTCAGGCAGTCTCTTTCCATGGATGAGAAACCCCAGTCCTTCCCAGAGTTGCATTAAAAACATCAACAAATCCCCAAACAAATCGCTGTGCCAGTGCAGTGGTTACAAGCCAGTCACTGGGGTGGGAAGCTCAGCAGAGCCTACTGAACAAGCAGGCATCCGAGCTTTCCATTCCTGGGGCCGTGGTCTGCAGGCAGCCAAGTCCAACCCACAGGGACTGAGACCAGAGGGGAGGGTCCCTGGGGAAAACGGGGCCTCTGTTATGAAAACAAGAGAAGTTCAGTGCTGGGCAGCCCACACCAGGAGGCGATTTCTACAGGGAAGGCAAAGTAGCGGTGTGAGTGCCTACTAGGGACAGGAAGAGATTGACAAGATCAGTATGGGTTGGAGAACTTTCTAGAAAGGGAACAGGTGGTTTCTGACAGCTGCTGCTGTCAGGGGAAGGAGGTCGTTGCCTTTGCTTTGCCCTCTCATGGTGACAAATGCCCCCCAGCCCTCCTCACCCCTGCTCCCCCCCCCACATCTTTCCTTAAGAACCCAAGCAGTGGAAATGAACACACAGATTAGGGCAGAGACCCCGCCCCAGGGCCCCCAAGCATAGTTTCTTTCAGCTCATCCAGGGGGACATGCAGACAACACCCCAATGTGTGCATGCCCACAGCCTGGAAAATGTCCTGGGTTGCTGTGATAACAGTCATGTTATTATGTGATAACAGCAAGAATCTACACAAAGCCAAATGACAGGGTTTCCAGCACCTGGCATGTGAAAATCAGGAGCTGTGGGCTCAGGGAAGTTTAGCTTCCTGATCCTGCTGCCCAGTTTCATGTAAGTCATTTCCATTCTGTGTGCCTCAGTTTCCTCATCTGTGAAATGGGGCCATCCGTGAGACCCTCGTGGGTCTGTGGTGAGGACTGAGTCAGACGCATGTGGAAACTGAACCTTGTGTCTAGTGAACAATGGATGTTAAAAGATGTTTCAGGAATTTTTTTAAATGAAAGTCTATTTTGTTTTTTACTTAATCTTGTTTTGCTTAAAAATGATTCAATTCAGAAAAACACTTGTTGTAAGCCAAAAAAATTTAACACCAAAGGTAAGGCCAAGAGCAAAATCAAAACTGGATGTTCTTCCCGAAGAAAATCAGTAGGGGTGCCACCTTCCTAAAAATGCTGTTTGTTTGCATACAGATATATCTGCATCTCAAGATAGCTTTATCTCATAAAGTACGAGCACATGACTCTTGGTCATGTCAGCACACACGCATAGCCACCCTAAAGGGGCCCTGTGGCCATGGATTGGTGGGCTTGATGGCCCGTGTGGTCACAATGCACCTCTCCTGTTCTCCACCAGGTGGAGCTGTTGGAAGCGCTCCTCAACTACTACCTTCTCAACAACCTGTATCCCAAAGTCAATGGTAAGAATGCGAACTTTTCCAAGAATGGCTCCTGCTCTGTGGGAACCAAGTGCTGGAGCTGGAGTTAGGCACCAGGACTCTGCGGGGGGGCTCTTTGGGGCACAGGAAGATGGAGAAGTTCATGGCAGATGAACGGCTGAGAACCAAGTTACAAGAGTGTTGAAGACAGAAGACGCTGAATTCCCACTGCCCAATTAGTTATCCCGCTCTGTAGCTGAGACACAGAGCCTGACAACATTATGCTCCACTTCTGGGAGGTGTTGCCTCACTCGGATGCCATGACAAGCAATGGCTGGGGGATGGCGGGCAGGGCAGAGTCAGGTAGGGTTCTTGATGGTGTCAGCTGCCAGTTCCTCCCTGTGACACCACGACATGACCGGTGGCTTGGCCTCTGGGTTTAATGCCAGTTATGCCCCTTTCTCACTGTGTCACCTAGCAAAGCCACTTGGCTGCTCTTTGCCTCCATTTCCTGTCCTGCAACCTGGGACTAGCAATCATACTTTCCATTTAGTCTCGCAGCGTGTGTGGAATGTGTAGAGAACAGAAGGGGTGGGTACAGTGTGGGTACAGATCTCCCTACATTGTGCTTCAACCTGCAGAGAAACTGGCCCATGGCCTCCCCCTCCCGCTGCTGAGGCACATCCAGCTCCACGACCTGGCTCTCCAGATCCACCAGGTCAGCGGGCTTGGGGGTCGGGGTGTTGGTTGGCCTGCCAGGGTTGGTGGTCCTAACTGGATGGATGGAACCCAGCCCAGCGCTGCAACTCAGAAAACCTGGACAAGGGATTGCTGTAAACCACAAAGCCATCCATGTGTTCCTCCCAAAGTGCCACCTCCAGGGGGGCAGGAGGACTGTGACTCAGCCCTGTGCCCTGGTGCCCCATCCATGCCTTCCATTCATCCCGGGACGGGGAGGGGGCCAGGGGAACACGCACCAACCAAGCCCTTCGGAAGATACTGCAAGTCCTGGATGTGCCAGCAGGTGGGGCTCTAAAGGGAAGAGCTGTGTCATGGATATGGATATGGGTCATGGACAGGGCACTCCACGATGGGTACACCCGGGGACCAGGCACACTATGGCAGATGAACTGCTGCCCATTCTGGCAGAGCCTGTGCTCCTCAAGTGTGGGCTCTCTTGAACTCGCAGGTGCCTGTCACCCACCCTCCTATGCTGTCTTGTTTTTTCCTAGAACTTCCTGTTCTTGGGTGCCAACATCCAGTACGTGCGAACTTGAGGACCAGAGAAGGATGGGGCTTGGAGCCACAGGTGGACCTGCAGCTTGCTTTCCCAGAAGTGCGGATGATCCTCGGAGAAGCTAGCAGGAGGCTGGTATTGATGGTCCTCCTGGCTCCGAGGGCTGTCTGGCCTCTGCCACCTGGCTTCCTCACACCTTCCCTTCCCCAGGGCACCCGAGCCCTCCTCAGGACTCAAGCCTGCGTTCTTCCAGGATGAGCCTCTGCCCCATGGGCCTGTGCTGTCTTTAGGGAACAGGCACCAGATTCTTCTATCCCCATGCTTAGAACGGTGCTGGCCCTGAGCAGGTCCTAGTACATGCTGATTGAGCGACGTGCTGAACGCCTCTCGGTGTTGTGGCTGAGCCTCCTTACCACCCACTCTCTTCTTGTCTTTGGGGTCAGCCACAGCTGTGGTGTCCAAAGCTGGACCATCACCACACTCCCCATTCTCGTTGGCCACTACTGCTGCTGAGACCTCGGCAGAAGATGGAGGGTTCCCCACACCACCCAGGCCTGGACCTGCTGCTGTGCCCTGTGCCGACTCAGCCCAAAGACTCGCTTCCACACCCAGAATCTCTCTCACACCCTGTCCTGTGGCCAGCAGAGGAGCCCAGGAGTGTCCCAGAGTAAAGATTCCAGCCTGTTGCTTTCCCTGCTGAAGCAGGTGTCAAACGGGAGGCAACGGATCTGGTGAGGGCTTTGGTCCAGCTGCCTATGCCATGCTCTCCAACTGCTCCCTGTTGGCAGTCCCCCGCATCTGGTGTCAGCCTGCTGACAGCCGAGACTTCGAGCTGACTGGGGAGTTGCTTCCACTTCTAGATCCTGGTCCCTAGGGACGTTCGGGGACGAGAGCTCGCTTGATAGAGCTTTCCCTATGCTAATGAGCAGCTAGCTAATGATCCAGGCTGGCAGACAACTCACGGGGAAGAGATGCAGTTTCCCCAAGTGCGACAGCCATGCTCCATATATCTTCATCTGTATTAATATTTATGTATCCATATATATAAATGTTCCTACAGTTGTGCTGCATATATATATTCTCTGCATATTTTTAAGAAGTACAAGTTAGGTTGCCAGCAAATGCTCATTCCGGAACACTGTAGGACATACCAGGGGCTTTGTGAAGACTCGGGCATTGTGGCACAATGAGTTACACCAGCATTTCATACTGCGGTGCCCGCTCTCAAGTCCCACTGCTCTGCTTCCAATCCAGCTTCCTGCTCACGCGCCTGGGAGGCAGCAGAGGCTGGCCCAAGTGCTTGGCTCCGTGTCACCCATGTGGGAGACCTGGATGGAATTCCTGGCTCCTGGCTTTGGCCTGGTCTTAGCCTTACTGTTGTGGGCATTTGGACAATAAACCAGTGGATGGAATATCAATCGATCTTTCTCTGTCTCTCTCCCTTTGCATTTCAAAGAAAAAAAAATCACTTAAGGAAGAAAAGAAAAGGAAAGGCTCAGAGAAGCTTAGACAATTCTTGACGGGAATGGAGCGACCAGGTTTGCTGGTCATTTACTTGTTACTCATCAAGCCAGGGGAAGCACTCTGTCCCCCAGTGACGCTAAATGCCTGGTTCTGAAACAGATGGGGAGGCCTCTGTCCACCTTTACACCAGTCAGGTGCATCCTCCCTGTTCCCCCAGTGTGGTTAATCCAAGAAAGACATCTAGCCTGTAGCTGGAGACAGGCTGACAGCCCCAAAGAGAGGCCTGAACCAGCAGCACTCAGCAGCCAGGATGTTGTTTCAAAGCCTGGGCAGCTGATTTTCCTAGACGAGGGCCTAGGCCAGATGCTGAGGGGTGTGGCATCAGAGGTCAGAGGGTAAGGCCAGGCACTAGTCCACATAGGAGCCTGATCCAGGTTAAACAGCATTACCTATTGCCCACTGGCACATGCAAAGCTGAAGTGGGGAGGGCATGCCTGGCTGGACTAGGTCACAGTACCCTTCTATGTGTGTGATGGATCAGGGGGTGGGCCATGCCGGACTGGGCTGCCCACCAGGACATAAGTGAAGATCTGGGGGCATATTCTGTAGGAAACTTGCGGGCTCACCTCTGTGGAACTGCAGCAAGAGCTGGGGGTGGTGATGGGCCGAGCCAGGCTGGACCAGGGAACGCACCTGGCATGCAAGAGCCAGGACTGGGAGAACGCCAGGCTGACCTGGGCTGCAGCCAAAAAAAAAAAAAACCAAAAAACTAGATTTTCCTTTCAATATGGTTTTAGCTGTATCTCATCTCTTTGACACATGGTGGCTTATTTTTTATCTGAGTTGAACTTGCAATTTTAACTTTGTTCTTAGACCTGAAGAATGGTCTTTAAATGTTCCATCTAGTTTGTTATATTTTACATTTTAATTTACAATGCAGAGAACCAGAGATAAGGATGACGACAGAGAGGGCTCCCCTGTGCTGAGTTACTGCCCATATGCCCACAAGCACAGGGGCTTGGCCGAAAGCAGGAGCCAAGAATTCAACTTAAGTGCATGGGTGACGGGAGTCCAAGTACGTGAACCATTCATTACCGGTTGCCTCCCAAATGCCCATTGCCAGGAAACTGAAGTTAAAAGTGCAGCCAGAACTTGAACCCGGACACTCTGATATGGAATATCCGTGTCCCAAGTGCCATGCCAAACACACTCCACTCCACGTAGTTGCGGTTTTTTTGTTTGTTTTTTGTTTTTTTGTCTCCTTTCTGTCCTCGTTTGAATTCCTGGTCTTATTACTTGGCAGCCAAAGTGTTCTGTACTATTTCTATTATGGGGGAAAAGGACTTGTTTTAATCAGCCATGGCCAATTTTGAGAAATTCCTTCATAAGGACCTCCATCAAAAGCAGGGTTTCCTATCTGCAGGGGCAGGGTACCCAGTGCAGGAGTTCTCACATCCACCTCATTAGCAGTTGGACTCAAGAATCAGGTGCTGCTTTGTGACCTGTGCCTGTGGTTCAGCCTTGGTCACCGTTGCTCTAGTGTGGGTGAAGCACTTTGCCTGGTAGGGGTGGCAGAGGGATGCTGTTGAAATCTTCCTTCAAATTCCAGCAGATCTCTGTCTAGAAAGATACTGTTCTGGGTCTGCTCAAATCTGCCAAGTTCATAACCAGGAGCACGCTCTTCTGTAACACACTGCCTGAATCCACGCCTGCTCACCAGGGCCCCCTTTATTTTCCTGAGCAATGCCAGGGAGTCCTAGTTGCACATAAACCTGGGATGCCTCTTCTCTTGGCTTCCTCCTCAGGGATTTCTCCTCCTTCCAGGCTGTGCCCTGTATGCCTTCCCTTGAGCCCGTCACTAACATGGCGGTCCCAGTGTGTGACAGACCCACGGCACCGTTTGCAAGGCCCTTTCCTCTGACGGTGACCTTCTCAACTCCGTCTTTTTCATTCCCACCTCCACAAAGTTGAAAGGAAAGGAAAAGAAAGGCAAGGGAAAGAGAAAGGGAAGGGAAGAAAAGAAAAGGGAAAAAAATAAAACACAGCTAGAGGCTTTGCACGTATCTGATAAGCTGAGTCGTGCTGGTGATGGCTTGCGTTCCTGCCATCCATCTGGGAGATGTGATTGGGGTTCCCAGCTCCTGGCTTCCTCTGGCCTAGGCCTGGTTATTGCAGGCAGGCATTTGGGGAAGTCAGTGGATGGAAGACCTCTGTCTCCTCTGCTCCTCTGTCTTTCAAATAAACAAAATGAACCCATTTGTGGATGAAATCTATTTGAAACAAGTGCCGGCCAAAGGGTTTCCTGCCCAGTTTGTCTAGTTGGCTCCAAAGTTGGCTTGCAAAAGGAGGACTCCCCAGGCTGTCCTTGTCTTCCTGGGGCCTCCTCGTGCCAGGTAGCTGGCCTTGGCCCTGAAGAATCATCTCTGCCCCCCACTGCAAGCATCACACACAGTCCCCAGAACAAGCAGCTCGCAACTGCACCGCCACCCCCGGGTACATCCGCTTGCCGAGGGATAGCAGTAGGAGGTGGTAATGATCCTGGCAGGTGGCTTCCTCTGTAGCAGGTGTCTAGCACACGGGAGGTCCCTATGAGGAAGCAAAAGGAGAGGGTATTATTGCCATCATTGTCATTGCTGTTACTTTAGCCCTTCTTGTCCCGCTTCTTAGAAAACCATAAAGACTTCTCCCACGCAGAGGACTGGATCAGCTCCTGATCCCCTGTGAGGTCCCAGGGCACCGAGAGGAGGGGAACAGAGGCGGAAGACCCTTTTCTGGGGAGGGGACCGGAGAGGCTGACCGCCTGGCAGCCAAAGACTCCTGGAAGTTCTGTTGGAGCGCTCACCAGACAAAGCGCAGACTGCAGCGCCGCCTGCTGGCCGCGTCTCAGAACGTTACGGCAGGAAGGTGGCAGGTAAACAGGCTACCTGGTGCTAACTAATCCTGCAGGTTCCAAGGAGGCTCTGGGAGGTACCAAGTGTGCAGCAGTCCATACTGACTCTTCGGGTATTCTCATGCAAATGCTCTAATGTTTCCCCGCCTCTTCCCAACCAAGGACTCTATTTTAAGCTTGCCAACAAAAGTGTTCTATATGTATCATGTAGTTCACCGTGGCATTCCTGCCCCAAATACTTAATCCAATCATTAGCAAACATCAATTAGACGCAGGGAGACTAAGATGCTCCAGCGTCACGTAGTTGCACGTCATTGAGCCGCTGTGTGGTATGGCAATAAATACATCTGGTTGACACACCACAATGCCTAGCTTCCTTCAACTCATGGCTTTGCTGCTTATTCCAGCTTCCTGGCAAAGTGCACCTTGGGAAGCAGCTGGTGATGGCTCAAGGACTTGGGCCCCCGCCACCCGCATAAGAGACTCAGATGGAGTTCCTGGCTCTGGGTTTTAGCTTGCCCCAATCTTAGTTGTTATGGACATTTGGGGAGTGAACCCCAGCAGATGGAACATCTCTCTTTCTCTTTGCTTATCTGTCTTGGAAATTCATAAAAGTCACAAAAATTATTTTAATGTCGTGAGAAACAGAGGTTGAGAAACTTGCAAGCTTAAGGGGGTTAAAGAAA